TGCCGAGGGCGGCCGGGAAGTCGAGGTTCGCGCCGTTGGAGCCCGTCTGGTCCCAGCCCTGGACGGCGGCGCCGATGGAGCAGGTGAGGACGGTCAGCAGCAGCGTCCAGGGAACGCGCCACTTGTGCAGGACCTCGTTGCGCAGGGCCTCGATCTCGTCCGGGCGCAGAGCCTCGGCGCCGGTGATGTCCTCGTAGCCCGTGGGGTCCTGGGCGACCAGCGCGCCCTTGCGGATGAGTTCGCGGTGGTCCTCGAGGTTCTTGAGGCGGCAGAAGTCGTCGACGTCGGCCAGCAGCGTGCGTCGCGGGATGCCGACGAGTGGGTTCTTGATTCTAAGACACGGGGGAAAAGGGGGGGAGAGATCGGCAATTAGAACGATGTGCTCTACTACTAGTAGCAAGACTGGAGAGAAAATGGAGGGGGGAGGAAAACCGTCATGCCACGTGGGAAGAGAGACATGACATGTCAAGACGAGAGACAGTCGGAGAGGGGAGAGAGGGGAGAGAGGAGAGACTGGACTGAGACTCACTTTGCTTCCGTGTTGGCATTGAGGTTGACGGACTGCGACCTTGTGCGTGCAGCCTCGGCCGAGAAGGTCGACGAGACATGGTAATCGTTGGAGGCTCTGTGGCGGCGAGAGTCAGCATCCGAGCCGGACAAGGACGGCGACGTCGGCGATGTCATCGTGAGACAGTACAAAAGCAACGAGTGAAGGAGACGGGGAGAGAGAGAGAGCCATACATGGTAATCTCGTCGACCCGGCTCTGCGACGACGCCGATGACATGGCGGGCGAAGCAGCCAAAAATCCGGGGAAGCGTCACGGCAACGCAGACAGAAGATGTGGGGATCCCTTGATCCCGATCCCCCTCTGGCAATCTCTCGCTCTTGCGAGTTGCAGAGGGCGGAGACGGAAGCGGATACGATGCGAGGCTGATGCGATGCGATGCGGTGGTGATAAAGGTTGCGGTCGTAATAGCCAGTCGATCGGAAGTGGTAGTGCAAGGGCGCTGTGATGGCAATCGGCCCGGATCGTCCTCTGGGTTTTGGGTCCTCGGATTTCAAGGGGCGGGGAAGAAACTCGGGATTCCAGGCGAGATTTTTCTGCAGGAGAGAGGAGAATGGGCGGGAGGGATGGCGAGTCTGGACGGACAGACGGAGGAGGAAGCGGGAGAGAGAGAGGCGGAATTCAAGTGGGAGAGGCAACGAAGGCGAAGCAAAGGGAAGCCGGTGCCGCGACTTGACTAGTAGTAGTACTTGTAGTGGTAGTAGTAGTAGTAGTAGTAGTAGTAGTAGTAGTAGGTAGTCGTAGTAGTAGTAGTACCTAGTAGTAGCCGAGGACGAAGGCGACTTCTTGTTGCGCGTTATGATGACTTATTAGTAGGTAGGTCTGGACAGACAGAGCATGTACAGTGATTATTGACAGCTCGTCTCGTAATGGCAGCAGAAAAAGCGCCGGCTTGTTTGGTCCGCCTGTTCTTGGCCTTTGCCTCTTGGCTTTGGTCTGGAGGCGTGGAGAAGAAGCAGGCCAGCCGGTGGAGCGCGCAATGGTACAGTTATGGAATCTCTTGTCTGCCCGTACAGTGACGGTGGTCACGGGGTGATTCAGCAGGGGAAATCGATCGAATTGTGTCTTGTCGTTCAAGATGCGGAAATGAAAAAGGCGTCTCTGCCTCTTGAGGAACTACATACCTGTAGGTACATCCGTGTGTGTAAGGTAGTAATACAGGCCAACGCAGAGGAGCAGAGGCGCCGGAGCGACCAAAGCAGCTTGTACCAACGTACAACGAATATGAGGCGAAAATTGGAAGAGCAGCGACCCGAGCAGCCGTACAGTAGACGAGACTGTGAGCCAGAACTACTACAGTATGTAGTAGCAGACGACAAAAAGGCACGGCCCCAGGCTGGGGGGGAGAAAGAGGCTGGAAAGGCTGGAGGCATTATGGGGGAAATGCGGCTGGGGATGGCATGGATGGAGCCGGTTTTGCTGCCGCTAGCAGGGATGCGCGAGGCTCGGGATCGGAAGCCAGGAAGAACGAGGAAAATGGACTGGAAGGATTCCTTTTGATGATACTTCAGCCCCCGTTTCAAATTCAGTTGCTGCTCAATTTTTTGATCGAGAACTAGGAGGCGATGTCCTCTGTTTCCCTCTGCACATCAAACTGTATTCCCGCTTCTCGCCGTAGGTCCTTCATCATCAACAGTAGCAGTCGACAGGAATGCGGCAGGAAAAGAGGCGTTTCGGCGTCCCCGAAAGGAAAAGCGAACAATAAAAGAACCCCAGCCGTTCTTCAGAAAAAAAGCACGTGGGAAAGCCAGACACGCGACAAAGAAAAAAAACAGCACTAGGACGAGACAAAGAGACCAAGTTGAGACAAGGACTGCTAATAATAAACCTCAGGTAAAACCGCCTGAAGGAACCCCGAGACATGATGGAACACCTTTTTTCTTCTTCTTCTTGTTCTTCTGCGGGGGTGGTGCCGCACTATCCGTCTGTGTTTTTTCTTTTGCCTTGACTTATCAAGAAAAGTTATCGGCTGTCGCTCTGGGCTCACCAATTTCTTTTCTCTTGGTTTCCCCACAAGGCGTTGAATACGCAAATACGCAAAATATGGTATTACCCCATCTTCAGTTGAGCCGCAAATGAATCATCGCCCGTCAACTCATGTTGCAATTGCGCATCGCTCTGGGAGGGGGGTTATGGCATTGGCCATTGCCGATACTATCTTGATCGTTGAAAATGTGATTATGCATCTTCATCTTGTTCCTTTTTTCCAAGAGTAGTCCTATTTGAACAGTCAAGAATCTCTATTTGAACAGTAGTGGTCTGTGCCACCAGCTAGAGCAACCCCCTTTAGTACTTTCTACCACACCTGTACACCAGAATACAGTGTAGCATACTAGTAGTCGTTTTAGAGGGCGCTGAACATCACGACTACAGAATCAGCCCTGCTGCTGCCACCTCTGCTGCTGTCTCTGCTGCTGCTGTCTCTGCTGCTGCTGTCTCTGCTGCTGCCGCGCCTATCGCCGCAGGCACGCTCCTTAATTCTGGGTTAATGACAATAATAATAATAAGTCTATTAGAGATCGCGAAATTGACGTTCGTGGTGTTGTGTGGGCTACGGGCATTTCCATCAGGGCACACTGTAAAGGGGTGTGTGGTCATGGAAGTGCTGGTGTAGGCGCAGCAAATTTAGTAGGTGCACAGACCACTACTGTTCAAATAGAGATTCTTGACTGTTCAAATAGGACTACTCTTTTCCAAAGGAAACTCTGTTAACGCACCAACCTCTTAGCTCAGTATCACATCTATGTACCTAGTAATCATTATGTCCTAACCATTTAGACCGAGCGTAGAACGGCCAAGAATGCAATTTTCCAACAACCCCCCATCCAACAACACTCTTGACAGCATCTCACAAAGGGTAAATACCTAGTCCAGGTACCGCAACCATCCAATAACATCCATATTACACTCCTGCTAAAACTAAAAACCTGTAAGGCAAGGCACCTGGACAAAGATGGAAATTCAATTAACCCTTTGTCCAAAAAAGGGCTAATATCTGACACACACACACAACCTCCCGTGATAGAGACCTAAATACCTTTGCACAACCCCTACTTTAGTACCTCACTTCACACCAGCATCAAAACCACGCCTTGCGTTGCCTTGCGTTGCCTTGCCTCGGGTCCCAAACACGCTACAAGAATCTTTTAACCCAGACCGTCATTCATACTCATCCATCCATATCTTGAATCTCCGTTTAGACGCCCTTGAACACGCGTTAATTAAGCCCAATTGTTTCTGTCCACATACCTACTACCTACCTCTCTCTCTATATATATGTGACCATGCCCTTCAATGTTTTGCGTACCTGGTGCCTCTTGTAAGCTCTTACTCCAAGGCTGTGAACCCTCATACTGCTGCCGTTACCCCCCCCCCCCCCCCCAAAGCACCTCTGCTTCGATCCACTAGCAACAGAAAAAAGAGCACAGCCTTCCGATACTACCAAGCTCAAGCACGCTTCATTGGCAGTGTCTCAAAGGGGGGCTCTGCTGCCAGTTACACAGAACTCGAGCAGCAGCAGGCACCCGACCCCCAAAACCAACAAGCCTCAAAACCTCACCCACATACCGCCATAAGGCACTCTCGTCACATTCCAGCCAAAGTCACACAAATCACGCATCCTCACGACCATCAAACACACAAAGGTGACACAAAGGTTTCAAACCTGGCTTGCGGAAAGCCTCGCCATATTTCCAGGCCACCGATACCGGCAGCATTCTACATACCCGAATTTCAAAAGAGCACCGTCATGCTACCTAACACAATCGAGGTAAATAGGTATCCGTGTCAGAAAAAACACATGACCTTAAACAGACTCGCGGTCACAACGCCCAAAATGCAAGAACTTGACCAACGCGTTCCCTCTGCGAGTCGGGTGCAAGTCGCCCGGCCGATAGACGTGGATACTTTCATTGCGTGGTGAGAGCGTTCCCCCTTTACCCTTTCGCGCCCATCGCCATTGCGTGTATGTGTGTGTGTGTGTGTGTACCCCGTGTTTTGTATACAACCCAAAGAAAAAAAACCCAATAGCCATCTGAGTTTCCGTTTCATCCACTGCCGTTCCACGCCCAAGGGCGCCTGGATTCATCGCCGATTGGGAAGTAGGAAATGGAATGCAAAACAAGGATGATTAGCGGGAAAGAGAAAAGGGGGGGCGCGGAACAAGGCCAGAGAGGTCAAAGAAGAAAAAGAAGCCGTGGAAGAAGAAGAAGAAGAAGAAGAAGAAGAGAAGAAGTGACAGAGAATAAATGTGCTAAGATGAGAAAAAGGTCATGAGGGTTGAAAAAGAAGATCATCAAGGATGGAGAGAAACATGGACCAAAGTAGGATCTTGGGGGAAAAGGAAAAAAAGATTCAAGACCCGAGAAAAGGTATAGAGATGCCAAGAAATCGACACAAGCCCAAAGTCGAACAAATAAGTAGGTATCGTGGCCCTCAACCGCCGTCTCTCCTCATCGAAGCCATCACAATGTTCTGCATCTTGAACAGCTCCTGATCGCGCTTCTCCAGCTCGTCCATCAGCGCGCCGTACTTGGCCTGCCACTGCTCGGTCGTCAGATTCTCCGCCGGCGGGCCGCCTGCTTGCGAAGCCTCGGCAGCCTCTCTCGCGCTCGGCTTCTTCCACATGGTCACCGGCACGCTGTGCGTCATGGTGAACTGGCCCTTGAGGTGGCCGAAGCGGTACTGCCAGTCAAAGTAGTAGGTGTAGACGCCCTCTGACGTCTCGACCCGATAGCACCTCGGACGGTTCGTCATGAGCATCTTTGCGCCGCACAACGCCGCCAGGTTGATGAGAAAAGCCTGGGACGACTCTGCATTCTTGTACATGTGCTCCACCGTCGCGTTGACCATGGCGGTGCACTCGTCCATGCCGGCAATCTCCTGCTGGTTGCCCTCGGGGTCGACCCAGTCCGAGTTGTGCAGCACGTGGGTAAAGTAGGATATCAGTCCGTCGACATTTGTCCGGTCCTCTAGGCCCTCGAAGAAATAGCGAGGCACTTCCTTGGACGTCGAGCCTGCCTGGCTGGCTCCAGCTGAAGTCGGAACAGTGTTGGTCTCGTACACTCCGGCTGTGGGCGGCTGCGAGAACGGATCCCATCCATTGGCCTGCGGCGCGGGCATTCCTTGGTTAGGGACTCCTTGAAGGGCCGGAGGTTCGTTCGACGGCAGGCCATTGACCGACACCATGGACGGCGGCAGTGGTGGCAGTGGCGGCGTTGCCAGCCGGACTGTTCCCCCCTGCCGTTCGGGCACCTGCAGGGAAATACTGGGCCGAGCAGGTCGGGTGCCATCGAGCGGGTTGATGCCCATGCCGGCCACGCCAAGATTGGAGGATGATGGAGGTGGCGGGATGATCTGAACCTGTGCTTGAGGCGGTGGCTGTACTCGCGCCTGGGCCGCCTGCATTGACGCGACCGGATCGCCGCGAGCGGAAACGACCTGGTTGCGAATCTGCGGGTGCATCTGGGCTGCGTCGGGGGCTAACGGCACAGGTTCTTTGGACATGGCGGCCACGGGAGGGTCTGATGGGTTGCTGTCCGGGGTCGGGGCCCACGATGTCATGGGCGGAGGGTTAGGGGGAGAAGGCTCTGCGGGTGTGCGGTTGATGGGGGGCCTTCCCCTTGGTTTGGAGCTGCTGTCGCCTCCCCCGGGTTTCCAGGCCGAAGATACGTTCTTCGGCCCTCGCCTGTGGGTAGAGGGCCTTGGTTTGGAGGGAGTGATGGCGGAACGGGGCTCCAGCGCATCGTCCCAGAAGGAGCTCCTGGTCGAGGGGGTGATGGCGGAGTTGGGATATCGGGAGAGCGGAGTCTGCACAGAGTCGCCAAGGCCCCAAGCAGCCGCGACGCCGGGCCTCAACGAGTCCATCGGCATGCCCTGGGCGCGGGCATCTGGATGAGCCGACCACGACGCCCGATGAGCATCGACTGCCGACGGGGGCGATAGGCGCTGCCGCTGGGCCACCGGGGAGCCCACGCTGTCATCGGCTTCTGGCCTCTTGCGGCCTCTCTTGGGGCGGATGTGAGGCAAAAGGGCCCTCAGGGCCATGTCGTCCTCGATGGCAACGCCATCACGGACGGGCTGGCTGGTGGGGTTTGGGTCGTCTGGAACATTGGTCCAGTAGTCGTTGGTGATGTCCATGAGGTATTCGAAAAAGGCCTTGACGTGCATCGAGTTCATCCATTTCTGCAACATATCAGCAACCGAGTTCCCATGATGCCTCGCCGAGTTGATCCATTGAGAACCAGCAAGTATCACAAGGAGGAGGGGAGGAGGAGGGGAGGGGGGAAGAGGGGAAGAGAGCAAGGACGCACAAGCCGGCGGCCAGCAGCACAAAGAAGACATACCTTTAAGCGGACGCCATACTGGGCAACCTTCTGCGCACTCTCGTCCTTGGACAGGTCCGGCGGCTCGACGCCCAGGCGGGTGGTCAGTTCTGTCCAGGTCTTGATCTCCTTGCGGTAGAAGCGCTGGACCAGGTCGAAGATGAGAAAGGGGCTGAAGCTCTTGCCTCCGCTCCGGGGCGGGTTCGCAAAGGCCTCGCGCAGGCTGTCGGTGTCGGCGTCGAGGGGCAGGGCGGGATTGCAGTAGAAGATGAAGCGCACGTAGGCGTCCTCGATGGTGTCGGGCGTCACGTTGCGGTCGGGCAGGGCGGGCCGGGTGGCCAATGGGCGCGGGTTGGAGACGGCCAGGCTGGTCTGTGTCGCCACGGCTTGCGGAGAGGACATTGTTGCAGATGCAGATGCGGTTGGCAGAAGACGTGGTGCTGCTGCTGGGCCCTCATGTCATGTCTTGCAGGCGCTGGCGCTGTGAGGGAGAAGGGGAGGGGGGGGGTTTGACGACTCTCTGCCCACGACGCCTCTTGCGCCTCTCTTCCTCTTCCTCTTCCTCTCTCTCTCTCTCTCTCTCTCTCTCTCTCTCTCTCTCTCTTTCTCTCTCTCTCCCGCTCGCTCGCTCGCTCCCTCTCCCGCTTTTCTCAGTCTCTATCAGTCTCTGTCGTCCCTCGTCGTCTTCTCGGTGACTATTGTCGCTCTGCCTGGTCCCGCGTTCCTTGGCGTTGGTTCTTGGTGGCTCAGACGCGCCCGCAGTCGCTACTTGACGATGGGCAGGGCGCTATGACATGGTGCAGCTTCCCGACAGCGACGCATGAGCGCCAGTCACGGCGAGGCAGCGAGGGCGCGCAGGAAGGCGGTCAAGGCTCGGGCAGCGTCACTGGAAAGGCGGGCGGCTGCGCTGGGCATCGGGCGGTTCGAATCAGGAGCTGAGCAAAAGAGTCGAGGTTTGAAGCAGCAAACATGACGTTTCGAGGCGAGGAGCGTGGCTCAAGAGCAGGCTAGTGGCTGAATCCATTGGCGCAGCGGCTCCGGCAGGGCGGCAGACAGTGCGCGGGCTTGAGCGTCGCACATGGCGCTGCTGGGGTCCGGTCTTGGTGATGGCGCAGCTGGAGGGCTTAGGAGGTGGTCCATTTGTAGGGAGCTCTGCATCGTGGGAGCACAAAATTGAAGTCGTAATGTTTATCCGCAAAGTGCAGACCCTCTTCGACGACGCTTTTAAAGTAAGGTAGTAGTAGTAGGCTACTACTTGCTTGAGATGGGCGTAATCATCAGCAACTCTATCTTCTTACCTACCTTGCCTACCTTAGGTACCTTACCTTACTTGCTCTGTGGGCGGGTAAGGCACGTACCTTATGCACCAACACGGGGACTAGGCATGCCTAATGCACATGCGCCTGCGTCTGCATATGTGTTGCATGTGGGTTGAAGTTTAGTGAAATGGGTGAGTTGGCACATGTAATACAGTCTTACCACGCATTCTACTGCCTGACCTGTCCACAAGAAATATTGCAGAGAGGCACTCCGGAGATTGAAGCAAATCGAGACAAGCCTCATCTTGGAGTCATGGCCTGGATTGGGTATCAGGTATGCAAAGTGCGGCCGTTTTCCTACGCACGTTGCCATAATTTAAACCCACATCAGTCTATATCGACAAGGGATGTCGGGCAAAACCGCACGTAAACCCACCTCCCCAGTATCTCGTGTACACCGTCGGCGTGCAGCAGCAATCTTGTTGTCGTCTGGCATCTGCATCCTTCAGGCCGTGGGAAGGGCCAAAGAAAAAGCCCTTTCAATTTCCTCTCAGGCTGGACCGACGGACGCGTGCAAGATCCCCCCCCTTGGCATTGCTGGTTGCCGTGAGCCAATCAACGGCCGCAGGGCGACTGGAGAATCATCGCAAAGGGCCATGCACAACATCCCGTCCGCCCGCCGCTGTCCAATGGGAGGGCGCGCATTTTCTTGAACGAGGAGCCCTTTCTCCTTTTCTCGGCTGGTGTCTGGTTTGGGGGCGGCGTTACTATTACTAGTATTATTGTCTCGCTGTTGGGGGGGGGGGCGGCATGATGGCGGATGCTGGATGTGAGCGTGCGCAGGTAATAGGACTTGCATACCTACATACTTGTACAGTAGAAATGGGCATGATTCAAACGGAAACACGGAGACGAAGACAGTCTGCACCTTGGCTGTTATCGATAGGTTACGAGCATGACGATGACGCACCTTTGCCCAGACGACGTTTGATGCCGCCAGCAGCTGCTGACTGGTCAGAGGCAGTAGGTGATAGTGCCTCTGCAGCCCTGGGATGAGCCCAGCTCGGCTCGGATTTCGCTTACGGTATCGCGTACTCGAGATACGTGCCTACCTACATAAGGTACCTACATGTACATACATACATACCCTAATAACGCAGAGCACGGCAGTTGGTAGATGATAAACCTCTTGATAGTGCAAGCTTCTTATAGTCCTTTCTGTAAAAAGAAGGGAAAAAAAAAACCAGACGAACCTCGTCTCGGCTTCAGTCGGCAAAAAGACGAGAAAAGAACAGAAACATTACGAGAAGCGTTGATGGCGTGGGGGAAGACACAGCACAAGGCCCCCCCATCAGCTTCTTCCAGCTGCAGAGACCTTCCAGCAATTACAAACAACCAAGATCTGGACCCTTCCCATCAAATCTGGATTTACGGTCTAGTAAAAAAAAAGAACAGTTCAACAGCTCCCAATACTAATACTAATCGAAAGCTTCCCGCGGCATCTTCCAACCAGATCCCGAGGCAGAGCCCACTTGGTAAGAATCCGATACATTGCATGCCAGCATCTTTTTCCCAATCACGCCTTTTTCTCTTTTTTTTCGGTCCTCCCCGCCGGCTTACATATACAACTTTGACACTTGCCAGCGGGAAACAAGAGAAGAGCGGCTAAATCCGGCACTTTGGGAACTTGTGTCTGTGGCATCATCAAACCGTATCAGGAAAGAAAAAAAAAAGTAGACTAGGAAGTTGAGATTCGGCATTCTCGCTTTAGTAAGCCAACACGCCTTACAAATGGCGTCCAGCGAATGGTGGAGCTCGGGTGTGACGTGCTTGCGGCCAAAGGGCGAAGATGGTCAGCGTCTAGACGTTCGTTGGAGGGGAAGTTGGATTTGAAATCGAGGAGCTGCGTATGGGGGTGACGGGAGTAGTATATATATATAAGACCTGATGGGAAGCTGGTTCTTCCGTTTGGACCATCGTCATTCCAATTGCATTGACATCATCATTGTTGCTGGTCGTTACCTATACATACCTTACCGTACGATAGCTACCACTTATACACCAAACCACCACCACAATCATCATCACTACCACTATCATCACCACCACCAGTATCATCTTCACCACCGCCATGGCCGTCATCACCAGCGTCCCCCGCGGCGACGTCACCGCCACCCTAAACTACTACACCGCCCCCGCCGACGGCTCCCAGCCCTACAACCTCGTCGGCGACGACCACCCCTCGGACCTCCCGCGCCGCAACTACGGCGACGACTTCCACGACGTCGTCATCCACGACATCCGCGGCCGCGAGGCCGACTTCACCCTCGACCGCGACGCCTTCCAGCTCGTCCAGAACGTCCCGCCCTCCGCAGAAAGGGACTTTGTCGACGACGAGTCCATCAAGAAGAACTACTACCCCGAGGTCGAGCAGCTGCTCCTGCAGCAGATTCCCGGCGCCGACAAGATCTACATCTTTGACCACACCATTCGGCGGTCGAGCCCGGATGCCCCGCGGAGCCCCGTCCTGCGCGTGCACATTGACCAGACGGCCGCCTCTGTCGAGAAGCGCGTGCGGCGATACTTTCCCGACGAGGCGGACGACCTCCTGCGGAACAAGCGCTACCGCATCGTCAACGTCTGGCGCACGCTCAACAAGAACCCCGTGGAGGCGAACCCGCTCGCCGTGGCGTCGACGTCTACCCTCGAGGACAAGGACGTGATTCCCATTTCGCACCGCTACTCGGATGGGTACATCGGCGAGACGGCCGCCATCAACTATAACCCTGGCCAGAAGTGGTATTACGCGAGCGGCATGACGGGGGACGAGAGGCTCTTGATTGAGTGCTTTGATAGCGAGTCGCTCAAGCCCGGGTCCAAGATTGGGGGCAGGGTGCCGCATACTGCGTTTAAGGATCCTAGGACGAGGGAGGATGCTGAGGGGAGGGAGAGCATTGAGGTGAGGGCTTTGGTGTTTGGCAACTAGAGAGGATTTATTGGCTGGGAGAAGAGCTTTGGGGCTTGCATGTAGATGGTTTTCCAATTTGAATGGTTTGCTTGGACATAATAGCGTTGCACATACAAGCTGAGAGACTGCGAGTCTATAATAACAGATGTTCATTCTGCTTTATTCGGGTTTCTGAGTTCCACCAAGACTACCCTCATGCTTGAGTGTTTTGCCATCGGCCGCGAATCAGTTTCACCCATTGAAACACAGGCAAAACAAGAACAAACCAATCGACAACAAGGAGAAGAAAGAGTAAAAAGAAGATAAAATAAGGAGGAAAACTTAAGGACAGGCCGTACTTTAACCAATCGCCAAGTGGTCTAAGCATCATTGTATAGAAACAGCAGGCCACAGAACTGACCCTTGCCCATCCCCTTGCTGCCATACGGAAAGGGAGAAACACATAGAGTAAAAGAGACATGACAAGCATCGCGAAGCACTGTGTACGTAACGAGGAGCCTTGAAATAGACTATGAAAACAATAAAGAAACAAAAATCTCGGATATCATCCTCTTTCGAACCCCAAGGGACTAGCAAGCCGCAGAGAACCAGAAAGTAGCTGAAACAACATAAGAACAAACAGGGGGGGCCTTGATGTTCCTCAACAAGGAACTGAAAGCCCTCGTAACTGTGAGGGTGTGTTGCAAGAGGGAAACCGCAGAGGGTCGGGGAGTGAGCTGCGCCCTCCCCTCCCTTTCCCTTAAGAGACGGGATATAGTAGTAGTATCGAGGTATAAAGTAAATAGAGAAAATCCCCAGACGCCAGCCGTCGCCTCGCCATGCCGTGAAATGCACATATTCTGTTAGTCGTTCATTTCCCGATTCCGTTTCCGTGTGCCATTTAAAAAAAGTGACTTTTGGTGTTTTTTTATCGCCTCTGCGAGAAGACAGTAACATGCAGGTTTATGCAACTTTAAGCGACCGATAAGATCCAGAGAAGTGCATGCTTTTCAGCCTCGGCGACCCTTGCCGCGGGCGCTGCCGGTGGTGCCCTGGCGGCTCATGGGGACGCCGCCCTGCCCGCTGTTCTGCCGGCTCATCGCGACGGGGCTGGACTGGTCGCGCAGGTTGCTCAGGGGGATGCCGAGGACGTCGCGGAGGTGCTCGGGGTCCTCGCGGGCGGCGCTGGTAAAGGCAACGTAGCGGCTCTGGTGGTACGGCACGGCGACGGCCTCGAGGACCTTGCGCAGGCCGCTGGGCGCATCCAGGTGGGCGCCGGGCTTGTGGGTCTGGTCGTACTGCTTGAAGAAGCTCATGACGGACAGGTCGGACGAGATGTCGTCTTGCGACAGCGGCACGGGGAAGTTCTGGTCCGAGGACCGCGGGTACGGCTTGAGGTACTGCTGGGGCACCGGGGGCGGCATCTTGGGCGGCTCCTGGGCGTGCATCAGGTCCAGGTTGGCGGGCAGCTCAAAGTTGGCGATGCCCTCGATGCCCAGGATCTTGTCGTCGAGGAAGTTTTGGCTGGCGCCGCCCCGGGTGCTGCGGGTGGCGTGCGAGACCTGGCGCTCCATCATGGGCGCGGCCGACGGCGGCTGCGACTCGGCGTCGTCCTTGTCGGCGTCGTTGCTCTCGGGGTTGCTCGGGGTGCTGCCGTCGCGCGACTCGCTGCCGTTGACGCGGTTGCGCAGGACGTACTGGTGGGCGGCCAGGGCGGCCGAGTTGTAGTGCAGCGACAGCTCCTTTTCCGTGAAGAGCTTGTCGATGCTGTACACGGGGCCGTTCTGCTTGGCGGCGGCGCGGGCCTTTTCCGACTGCCACAGGGGCGTGGTGCTGTTGGGATCGAGGGCCCGTCGCGACGGCGCCGGCGAGCCGTCGTCCTCGCCCGGGTTGCGCTTGCGCTTCTTGCCGTCGGCGAAGACCTGGAGCTCCTCGGCATCCTTGCGCAGGCGAGTCGCCCGCTTGCCGTGGGCGCCGCCGGGGCTGGCGGGGTTGGTGAGGCTGAACTGGCTGGGGTTGAGCAGCAGGGCGCTCGAGTCGTTGATCTCGAGCACTTCCTTTTCGCGGTTGAGCCGGTTCTTCTTCTGTGTGAGGCTGTTGATGAGCCGGTCGCGGAGCGTCTCCGTCAGGGCTCGGTGCTCCCGCTTGGCCGTCTCGACCTTGTACGCGTGCGTGTTTTTGTATTCCTGGACCTTGCGTTCGTACTCGTTCTGTTGGAGATGGTAAAAAAGATTAGCATTGGTGTGCCGTGGCGTGGTGCAAGCAAGATAGAGTAGAGAGAGAGAGAGAGAGAGGCCGTGAAGAAGCAGGGGAGGAAAAGAGCTGCGGCATGGCGGGCTGGCTGCAAAGAGAAAGAGTGGTGTTGCTCCCTCTTCACTCTCCCAACCCTGGGGCAAGCTGCACGTGGGCCGTATCACTGTTTCTGCTCACCTTGGACTGCACCAGCTGAAAGTCGCGGACCTCAATGAGATCCTCGACCTCGTCCATGAACTCGGGGAAGCGGATGCCCGCCATGTCGACGAGGCTGCGGGCGCCTTCGGCCAGCACCGGCGGCCCCTGGGCCTGCCTGTACTCGCGCAGCAGCTCGTCGGCCTTTTCGAGGGCGTTGACGGCGTAGGGGTCGAAGCGCTGGACGAGGCCGACCTCGTACTGGATCTTGGACAGCTGGTCGCGGTACGTCAGGTCCCGGTCGCGCTGCATCTTGTCGGACATGGTGGACAGGCGCTCGACGAGGACCTGGCGCTTGCGGTCACGCTTGGATTGCGAGGCCGGGGCTGGGGCTGGCGAAGGGCGGTCCATCTTGACGCCCACGGCGGAGGCGATTCCCTCGCTCGCCTCCATTGTGCGGGATGCAGAGGTGACGAGGTAGAGACGGTGATTTCAGGTGTCGAGAGAGAAGTGTGTATCAGGGAGGGAGGGAGAGAGACAGAGAGAGACAAAGAAGTCTGAGAGAGGTGGAAACGGGTCGTCGTCGGCTAAGAGCTTTGATTTTCGGTGTCGTAACAAGAGAGACCAGGCGCTGTGACGAGCAGCAAGACGGCGGTAATTCTGAGATGCTCACAGCAGGAAAACGAGCAGCAGAGTCAAAAACCGCCAGCAGCAGAAGCAGAAAGATTGCACCAAGAGCAGCAGGATCCGTCGCTTTGCGGTGTTGCGTCTGGAGGTTTTTGGAGCAGAGGGCTGGCTAGGGTCTTGCGTCTAGATGCTTTATGTAGAACTAAGGTAAGGTATGTAAGTCCGGGGGGGTCGTATTAGTGAGTGGTGTGTGGGCTCGTTGTTTTCTGCCGCCTAATTCTTCTGCTCACTTTGGCTTCACCTCACCTTGAACTCAGCTGCGAATGGGGGTGAAGCTCTGCGGCCATGGACGGGCTACTGGACAAGTCTAGAGCCGATAGAGACAATAGAGGCAATATTCGTTTTTTTCCCCCTCTCAATTGTATTGCACATGCAGAAAAAGGTGAGGCTCATTCTCCTCAACTTGTCGAAGCCTTGAACTTCACCTGTAGCGGCTCTTCCTCTTTCTGCCAAGGCGCAACAAGTACCTCCTAACTATGTAGGTACATCCCTCGTCTGCGTGCGACTGCTGCATGATTTGGTCACTGGTTCCATGCCCGTGCCCTCGCACTCCTTCGTCATCATTCTGCCACTCTGCCCTGCTCTTCTCAGCTACTAGTAGGTACATCTTACCTGTTTGCTCTTTTCCGGCAGCCAAATCAGCCCTCCCAAGAGAGCAGAAAAGGCAGCAAAAAAGGCACCTGCAATGCATGACCCAATCTGAGCAGCTTCACCGCCCGCCCGATCTGGATGCTTGCAAACGGAGTCAGTGATTGGCTCCGTGTCCAGAAAAGTGCCGCCGTAAGTCTTGAGTACATCTAATCTCGTCATCTCAACTGCTGCGGGCGCAAGTACTCTGTACTGGGCATTGCCGGTGCCAGTCAGAAAAAAAAAAAGGGACACAAGAGCCGGCGCACGTCTAATGGGCGCTATGCCCGATGTGGAAGCGATTTGGCGTCTTTTGCCTTTTGCGGCGTCATCGGAATTGAAATGCTTCCACTTGAGGTTTCTAAGGACTAAGGTACCTAGAGGTATTTGATATTACGGGTTGCTCTTCTGGAAGAATGACATCGATCCGTGACTTGGGCAGAGGGTTGAATTGTGTAGGTAAATTCAAGTCATCTTGGTACATCTATCAATAGCGGTTCAAAAGAGATACTGAATCAGTTCTGTAAACATTGAAAGAGCGATTGTGGTCATTGTCTATGGATGCAGGTATGCACTCCTCCCATAAGCCACGATATAGAATTCAAGGCTTCACAAGCCTCACCCTCAAAGTCGAGAGCTCACAAGCCACCGCGAAGCTTCTGCAGCTGGCTCATCAGCCCAAACCCAGCAGGCTGCGTCTCTCCAGCACCATCCCTAGCACTCGCAGCACTGCCACCACCGCGTGCTTGTTGGCTCGTCGTCGTCGTCGTCGTCGTCGTCGTCGTGACAGCAGCCTCACTCTTCTTCGCATCCAGCTCCTTGAGCAGCTCGCGATGCCTGTCCTCAACCATCTTGGCCAAGCTCTCAATGAATCTTGTCCGGCCCTTTTCCTCCGCCGTGCCGTTCCACACCGTCGCCAGCTTCTTGAGCTGCTCGATCCGCTCGGCTGCCTTTTCAATGCCCGAAACGGGGTCTTGCTTGTCGTGCAGCAGACCTGATATCTCGTCCCGTAGCTTCTGAAGAGTCTGTTGGCCCTTTTCCTCTGAGCTTTGTAGATCCGACCCTGGCTCCGGCGCGGATACGGACAGGAAGCCTGAGCTGACGGAGACTTCTGACGGTGGGAAACTGAACTCCATGGCGTCGCCGAATACCTTGATGACAGAGTCCAATCGCTCCCGGACGAGCGTGAGCGTCCTCAGCTGCTTGATAGACTCGGGCTCCTCTGCACCCTCCGGTTTCGCAGTCGTCTTTGCTTCCGACCCTTCTCCCCCTTCGTCCGCAGGCTTTTTTGTCTCCTCCTTCGGCTTCTTCCTCTCCCCCCCTTCCTCCTCTCTCTGCTGAGTCTTGGCCTCGCCCTCCTTGTTCAGCCCCCCCGGCACAAACATGCCAATCTGCTCCGCCAGCTTCTCAAACAGCAGCTCCTCCAGGCTCAGCGCCTCGCCCCTCAACATCTCGACCTCGTACGACATCCTGCCGCCGCTGCGGAGGATGTCGTCGGTGATTTGCGTCAGCGTGTCCGACAGCCGCGTGGTGTGGGCGTCGAGCTGCGAGAGCAGCGTCTGCGCCTGCGCGGCGAGGTCGGACAGCGGGACGGCGTTGTGGTTGGAGGGCATGGGGGACTTGAGGGTTAGGGGGGGCAGGCTGGTGTTGAGGTAGGCGGCTGGGTCAAAGGACGGGCTGAGGAAGGGCTGGAGGAAGGGGTCTGATGTGTGGTGGGATTTGGGCGGATAGGAGAGGGTGTTGTCTTGCTTGACGTCGGTGGCCATTGCGGATGATGGGGAGTTTCAATGAAGAAGTAGCGATATTGAAGCAATAGAGGACTCGAGAATATTAGGTGAGGTTTGGGTGAAAGTACAATCCAATTGCGATGGCGTCGTCTATGAGAACAGATTGTGTTGTAGTTGAATGCCCCAAATGAGAGTGAGGCCATCGCCGTATTACCGACATACCTACGTTAAGGTACATGTCACCAAGATACAGCCGACAATAACCCGACTTGCCATTCGCCCAATTGAATCCCCCTTCCAGGCTCTTCCATCCAATCAAATCTCCACCATCCCCAATTCTCACTAACAATTTCACTTACTCGATAGCCTCAAACCCATTGACTCACTCACTCACTGACCTTCACTAACCTTCACTTAAACCTCTCTCATCTCATCTCATCATCTCATCAACCCTCGTCCAATCCCATGCCTCTGTAGAAATGAGCACCGAAACCACCGAAGAAATGCGCATCGACCCCACCAGAGCCCAAGCTCTCATATCCCAGCTCAACGCCGTCAAGCAAACCATTGCAGCAGCGGCTCACGGAAGACCAGTAAGCACTATATAAACCCAATTCATCCCCTTTTCTTCATTCAACATTCTACTACATCACCAAAGACAATATCATCCAACCTCTCCAAACATAATTGATCAAAAGCTGACGCAATATCAAAAAAAGGTCCGCCTCGTCGCCGTCTCCAAACTAAAGCCAGCAAACGACATCCTCGCCCTCCACAACCCCCCCTCATCCCACACCCACTTTGGCGAAAACTACGCTCAGGAGCTCTCCCAAAAGGCAGCGCTTCTCCCGTCCTCCATCAACTGGCACTTCATCGGCGGCCTGCAGTCCACCCACTGCAAGCACCTCGCCCGCATCCCCAACCTCTTCTGCGTCTCCAGCGTCGACTCGTCCAAAAAGGCACACCTGCTCAGCAACGCCCGCGTCGCCGCCATCGCCGCCAATCCGGAAATCGCCAAGCTCGGCGTCCACGTCCAGGTCAACACCTCGGGCGAGGAGGCCAAGAGCGGCTGCGAGCCGGGCCAGGAGACGGTCGACCTGTGTCGCGAGATTGTCGAAAAGTGCCCTGGCTTGAAGTTCCTGGGGCTCATGACCATTGGCGCCATTGCGAGGAGCAAGGCCACCACGCCGGAGAATCAGAATGAGGACTTTGAGACGCTGAGGCAGCAGCGGGATTTGGTGGCCAAGGAGCTTGGCCTGGATCCTGGTGAGCTGGAGCTGAGCATGGGCATGAGCGAGGACTTTGAGGGCGCGATTGCGCAGGGGAGTACTGAGGTGAGGGTGGGAAGCACGATTTTCGGGCAGAGGCCGGCCAAGGCGGATGCCAAGATTAAGGAGTAGGACCTGTGAGAGAAGAGGAGGGATCTGTTTTTTATTTACGGAGTGAGAAAACCTCAGGCCAGGGGTTACTATGTAGCAGAAATTATCAAGCGCCTATATGATTTGTGATGCAGCTCGAGATGCCATAGCAAGCATACCCGCACTTAAACACACGTATACAAAGAAAAATAACTGGGCTAGAACAACCCAAACAAACGACTGAGACGAACCCCGAAGTTCCCATGCATAATATCAAGTATATTCACGACTTCCAGTGGGATCAGAGATGTGAAAGAAAAAGGGGGTAAAAATAAAAGAAGAAAGGCAGCCGCTTTCATAGGAGGCGCAAAAACCACTAAACTACATACATAGAACAATAAACTCGCCATCGTCCTCACTGGCTCATCCCTGCTTCCATCAGGCCTCTCTACCAAAGAGGACCCTTGCCCAAAGCACTTGGCCATCGTCCATCATACTTCCTCTCCCGAAATAAAACGCCAATATGCTTCCATGCGGTGCCAAGACATGTCCGAGTAGTCAGTCGTGTAATAGTTTGTGTCACATATGTCCAAGATAAATAAGGTTAGAAAAAGACAACCGTGGTTGTTTCGGGGGAATAAACAATAAGAATAATCATAGTTAGTTAACCATTACACTCCCAAAGGCGTCGGAAATGTCTTGTCGTGTCGGCGGCTCGTGTCTCTCGGGCAGCGTCGACACGCCGAGGGCGAGCCGATCTTGCATGAGCTTCAGGAGGACCTGTGGCACCGACTCGTCCGTGGCTCGGATCGTGAGTCGGATCATCTAGAGACAACTGCGTTAGCGACATCTTCATCAAAGACACCCATCTTGTTCGAACATGACGATAGCGGTCGGTAGATCAGGGCAAAGGTGGATAAATTTGTCTCATGACCAGAAAGTTCTGAAGTAGCAAATACTTTGATTTTGCAAAACATCATGTGGATAGGATCCCAGTATGGGTTGATATGTGAAGCAACAGGAGGCAAAAAAAAAAAAAAAAAAAAAAAAAAAAAAAAAAAAAAAAGGAAACTCACCTGAGTAGCATAATTGGGCTCCAGTCGCATCAGGCAGCCAAACTTGCCGCCCTCCGAGGTGTGAAGCACGCTGGCGCCGACAACGTTCTTAGGATTGGGATCAACCATGTCGAGGACACGCCATCGGAAGCCCTCGACCGTCGACAGCACAAACTTTTCGTTGAGTTCCCTGGCGCCGGTCTTGCCGCCGGTGAGGCCAAAGATTCCCTGTGCCTCTCGGGTGCCGCCGCCAATCTGCTTCCACCGCTTGAAAAAGTCCTCGGCCGAAAGCTCGGCCGGGTCCATGAACTTGTGGATGGTGACAGGCAGCTTCAGCGTGAGCGCCTGCAGCGCACCGGCCAGGTAGCTGACGCGCATCGTCGGGCTCTTCTCAAACACCTTCTTGGCCTCAAACATGATGACCTGCTGTGTCTGCGACCCCTGGCCGAGCGTGCTCTCCGGAAGACCCTTGACGTCCCAGGAGAGCTTGCCCTTTTCGCTCTCGTCCAGGTCCAGCGTCGTGGTAAAGGATGTGATGGTTCCGGGATTCTTGTTGCGGAAATACGCAATGAGGCAGGCCATCTGGCCGCGATACTCGGACCGGACACCAATCTGCAACTGCGCATCTTCGTACAAGACTCCCTCGGCCTTGAGCAAGAGCCTGTTGAAGCCCTTCTCCCACCCAGGTGACAGATGCGCCGCGCTGGCGAGGTTTGGTGCCTTTGTCGGCTTTTGGTCGGTCCCTGACGAGCTCAAGTCCAGACCTGCAAGGTCAGAGGCGCCGTTTGTGTGAGCTCCGTTGGCACCGTTGGCCTTGTTTCCGTTGAGCGGAACAGCAGAACTAAAGGTCCTCTTCAAACCACCAGGCTTGGCCATGTTGAGCTCCGCCTCCGTGTTGGCAGACTTGCCGCCGACAACCCACGTCCTCCGATCGCTCGTGCCGGCATGCTTTTGGTGCAGGCGAGACAGCAGGGCCGATTCTCGCTCGGGGAAGGGTGGCATTTCGTCGCACATTGTCCGCAGCAGGTCATCCGTCGGCATCGTCGCCAAGGTCAGGTACTCGCAGGCTCTCTGCTGCAGTTCAGAGTCCAGGGTGTGGCTGTAGACCTGGAAGACGTGGACGAGCTGCGGCTTGATCTCGGGGAACAGGTTGACGAATTTGATGAAGCAGGAAAGGATCATGGCGCGCGTGCTCGACGAGCATCCCGACAGCTTCTTCTGGAGCGCTAGGAACTGCTCAATAGGGCTGCACCGCTGCTGGTCCGCAATGAGATGGCCAAACTCGCCGAGGATGTAGGCGCCAATCTTGACCAGCGTCTCGTGGCAGATGTCGGCCCTGATGTGCTGAAGGGCAGTCTGGGCAGCGTAGACCTGGAGCTCCTCGTTGTTGGTGACAATCTGAATCACTCGCTGCCACACCTCGTCGCTGACATGGTCGCCGGCCATGGCAATCAGCCGCAAGGAGATGTCGACGTACCACTGCACGTCGGTGGCATACTTTTCCGTAAGGATGGCAATCTTAAGAACCATTTCCTCACGAATGGCAAAGTCTGCGTTCTGCAAAAAGTGCAGAAGCTCGCCCACCACGACCTGCGCATTCGAGGAGTCGCACATGCTGTAGAGGAGATCGAGACCCTTTCGGCGAACGCTAATGTCACGGTCCTTGAGAGAGCTGAGGATGATGTCCTGGTGCTGCTTAATCGGGATGAGGTTTTCGGATCTTGCGGCCAGATGGGTCATGGCCTCGAGGCCCAGGTATCGAACGTTGGTCTCCCTGCTCTGGATGAAGCGGCCGAGGCGAGACGAAATCTGCTTCATCAGGTCCTGCTCCGTGTCAAGGTGGATGATGAGGTTGATGGCCTCAAAGAGCACCGCATTTTGGGCGTTGTTCTGCTGCACGTTCTTGCTCGACTCCATGGCGAGGTTGAGAATCTTTTGCAGAGACTCTCGGATGAGCTCGCGCACGTGCGTATCCTCTATAACAGCAATCAGCATTGTGGCGTATTGAGGTTATTTGTTAAGAGACCAGCTCTTCTTCACGCACCTGAAGGGGGAAAGTATTGCAGCAGCCGCAGAAGCTTGACCTGCAGCCAAGGGCACGGGACCTTGTAGTACAGGTAGTCGGTGGTATACTCGCCGTCAATGAGGATGCGCTTGAGCTTCGCGGCCGCCTTGGCATATGCGCCCTTGTACTGCTCCAGGTCATCCTGAGCCAGCGTCATGACGAGAGAGGTGACGGACAGCGCAACGCCCAGGTCGTCGTCGTCCATGAGATGGATGATGCGCTCGGCCCACTGGGGCTGGACAATGTCCCGGTGCTTTCGGTACAGGCGCAGCAAGGTGAGGGCGGCCTTTTTCTTGACGAATGATTTGGAGGTCCTGGATCATCATGGCGAATTAGTACGCGGTTCTTGATTGCACTTCAGCTCGGGTAGGGTAAGGAATGGGGTAAGTTGTTGTGAACGTACGGCGAGATGAGCAGGCGGTGCACCTCTCCGCTCAGAGCCTCTCCCATCTCGCGGCCTCCGACATTGGCAATGGCATGCAGGGCCAGGCAGTTAAAGAGCTCGTTGTGGTCGAGCAGGTCCTTGCGGATGCTGTTGACGACGAGGTGCAGCAGCTCGTGCTTCTCGTGCAGGAACAGCGTCATGGCCAGGTAGCCAATCTGCTTCTCCGAGTACTTGCTGGCGGAGATGAGGTTGACGGCCTCGAGATGGCCAAAGTCGACATTCCACCCCAGGATGTAGATGTAGAGCAGCTTGCAGACGTATTTCTTCTTGTGGTAGCCGCTGAGGTTGCCGTCCTTGAACTTTTGGCGGATGTTGGCCAGCTCCTTGTTGATGCGCTTCTCCTCCAGCTCGCGGGCGCGCGCGTTGCGCAGGTCGGCGATGAACTGCACCAGGCCGCGCATGTTGGCATTGTTGCTGCTGGAGCGGCCGATCCAGCCTGATCCGGACGACGACATCGCGGGCTGTCTGGGTCGTGGGTTTGCTTCCTCGGTGGTCTAGCCGGCGCCCCCCCTATTTCGTCGGGCCTCCCGTTATGTGAGCTCGTCAATCGATGGGGGGTGGGAATGAGTCGCAGGGCAAGCTGCCGCAAGTGATTTTCGATCCTCAAACGTAGGCAAAGCCAAACAGTAGTCGCCTTATCGGGGAAATCGCATAGTCGGGCGGGCTCGTCTGCGTAGGTCTGGGCTATGCGGCGACAGTCGAGGCCGCTCGCGAGGCTTCAGGACTGGATATGTAATCCGTCCGTCTTGTTCGATAAGGCGCTGGCGGTCGTCACGGGGCAAAGGGAGGCTGCAAAAAAAGAGGAGTCAAGAGACCGATTAGATGCACGGTCAGAGGCCGTCACAGCAGGATTCCACAGCCGGGTGCGCCCAAAAGGAGCGAAACAGCGTCCAGCCGATGCGTGAAGCCGCCGTTGGGTCGTGATTTGCGAGGTCGAGAGTCGCGTCTCGCGGGCGGCTCGGAGGAGCTGCCAGGAAGTCCATCAAATGCTCCAATTGCAGGTCATGGCTGCAGCCTCTATAGCGGCCACAGCGGCCGTACCCGCTAAGTCTGCAACTGCCAGCGGCTGCAGCAGGTGCCTTGTGCCCTGTGGCGGGTGGCCCGTGCACCCCGAAGCCCTCTAAGAGATTGCTTTGATTGCCAATGGAACTCCGGATGGACATTTTTACTGATCGACATCACTACGAGATCGCTTCCATTCTGCTTTTTCTTACATACCTACATGCAATGATGCTCGTGGCTGGCGTCATTGTCCCGGCGTGAACAAACCAACTCGCTCCTGCAGATGAGCCCGAGCATGTCATGTCCACGTGTGCGCGCTCGTCTTCCATCGTGAGCTGGGCAAGCAGCCTTGCAAGGCCGGCCCCTCGCAAGAGCTCCCAGTTCGCACTCACAGCTGCCCCTCGCCGCGGCTATGCGGTCGCCTCCGGGTCGACTCGATTCCAAGTGTTCAATCGACGGACAAAATGGCTTCAGAAGGAGCGCGCAGCTTCCAATGCTGACGAGAGCCGCCAGGCGGACTATCTCAAGGACGAGGTGGCCGTGCGGCTCACGGAGAGGCTGTTGGTACGTCATCAATCAGCTCCCCCCCCCCTCCCTCCCAATATACCAGAAGCTCATTTCTCACGATTGAATGCTTGACAGGACATCAATCGGCACTTCCCCAAGGCTCTCGACCTCGGCGCAAATTCCTGCAACGTCGCAAAGGCCCTGACGCGCGACAATCCCGATCCCGACCCAAACACTCCCACGTCACCACCGCTGGCGTCCCGCATCGGCGAGCTCATCGCAACCGACTCCTCCGAGACGAGGCTCTACCGCGATGCCGATCACGACTTCAACGCCAAGCTCAACATGACCCGCCAGGTGGTCGACGACGAGGAGACAATCGCCTTCGAGCCCGAGTCGTTCGACCTCGTGCTGAGCTCCCTCAGCCTGCACTGGATCAACGACCTCCCCGGCGTGCTGGCCCAGATCAACAACATCCTCAAGCCGGACAGCCCCTTCATCGGCGCCATGCTCGGCGGCGACACCCTGTTCGAGCTGCGCACGTCGCTGCAGCTGGCGGAGCTCGAGCGCAGAGGCGGCATGTCCCCCCACGTGTCGCCGCTGGCCGACGTGCGTGACGTGGGCGGCCTGCTGCAGAAGGCCGGCTTCAAGATGCTGACGGTCGACGTCGACGACATCATTGTCGACTACCCCGACATGTTTGCCCTGATGCAGGACCTGCAGGCCATGGGCGAGAGCAATGCCATCTTGAACCGCGAGATGGGGCCGATCCGGAGGGACGTGCTGGTTGCCGGCGACGCCATCTACCGGGCCTTGCACGGCAATCCGGACGGATCGATTCCCGCTACATTCAGGATCATATACATGATTGGCTGGCGTGAGGGAGAGAACCAGCCGAAGCCGCTGGCTAGAGGAAGCGGGCAGACGAGTCTCAAGGATATATTGGAGAATAAATAAGACGAGAATATGTATCAGCGGTACAGCATTGTATAAACGGCGGAAATCGTACACTCTTTTGCACAGGTCAAATGAGACATTGACCGGCCATTGGATAGCCATGTACATGTAATAAGTAATTGTGTCATTGTGAAAAGAGTAAAGCAAACTCCAACGGCCCCCGTTTCTATACATCGCTTCCTCCGCATACTTCACCCCCCCTATTTACCTATATAAACACCCATTCATACCCTCCGCCAGTCCGTCATCGTCCGGCCAATGCATCCCAGCCCGGCAACCTCCACCAGCTTCTCATGCCAGCTCAGCAGCACGCTCATGGCGGCCGACGCGGGCTCGTTGGACACGCCGGGCCGTGAGCCGATCTGGCTGAAGCCGGTGGACTGGGGCGTCATCTTGGCGGGGGACTTGAGTCCTGCGGCGGCGGGCACTCCGCTGGCCATTCCCTTGTAGCTGGAGGGGCGCACACAAGCTCCCATCAGTTGGTGTTCTCTTCGTTTTCGAAAAGGTGGGGGAGGGGGGGTTATGTCGTTGTCGTCGTTGTTGTGGCGGTGGTGGTGGTAAAGACAAGACTCACATGTACTTCATGAGGACGTCGAGGAGCTCGCTTCCGCCGGGGGCCGCGTAGATTCCCCTGAGCAGGGGCGTCATGTCGCTCGCCTTGATGGACTGCAGGACCTCGATGATAGTCTGCAAATGCGCCTCCTATTGCACCAACAGAAACCCAAACGTCAGCCCAATCGTCCCCGGTCAATGCCAAATCCGACCGCGTCGTCCCCAGCAATATGAATAAGCCAAAGGGGGGAGTGAATAATGGACAAGTTTCTTCCAGAGAGGGTGCACACCTTTGCAGCATCCGTCCCGTTATACACGGGCGTCTCGAGACAGCTCCTCAGCGCGCCCTCGGCGTCGCCCCCCCTCAGCAGCTGCCGCACCTGCGAGGCCAGCGCGCGGACGTCGGCCTCGGCGATCTCGGGCTGCGGCGGGCGCAGCGTCGACGTGTCAAAGTTGACGCTCGAGTCCTCGGTCAGGATGTCGATGTTGACGGTGCGCCAGGCGTCGCTGAGGGAGGCGGCGGTGTGGTGCTGGATGATGGACATGCTGGGCGGTTTTGTGTCTGTGTCTCTTGGTCGGGTCGTGTCTCGTGTAGTAGAGGGGGGTTATGTCTCTGATTTCGGGGGGCGGAGGAGGGGCGTGCTATCGAGGAGGTGAGGAGAGGTGAGGCGTCTTGGGCGGACGAGTTGGCGGAGAGCGAAGATGGGAGAGTAGAGAGAGAGAGAGAGAGAGGCTGGAGCTCTTGGGTGTTGAGGCTGGAGCTTCCGGATGCTGCGTCACGGAGGGGCTGTGGGGGAGATGCCTGCGTTTGGGCGTTAGCGGGTACTTGTAGGCGCACTGTAGTGCTGGTGTGTCTTTCTGTACCTGTTAAACGTGTTCAGGGACGGAATCAGTGTGAATTGGCCTCAAACATAAGGTAATGTCAGCTTAAACGATGGCAAATTGAATGATGGCAGCTTCAACTGACATATCTCTTCTTGAGCAAGTTTGCCATGGGAATATAGGGGTAGTTTAAGCACCTGCAAGACGGTCAATGGTGGACAAGTAGCTCCAACTTCAAACTGGTGATAAGCCACCGAACAACTACACCTTACCTCATAGCAAGGTAGAGAAAGACCACGCAGGCGGAATCCATAAAAGACAACTTACAGAATAGAGTCAGGAGTCAGTAAAGATTCATCACAGCCATGTCCTATCATACCAAGTGCAGCAATCTAGCCTTGTTTCCCCCAAGCACCTCTTCAGCCCTGGCAAGCTTCAATTCCTTCACCACCTCGTACCTGCATAGATACCCTGTAGACGCAACTCCATTCTCATCCCTTCCTCATCACCCAAAGACATGACCCGTACATAGACGTCAGCCCTCGTTCGTCGCTTTCCAACACGCCAGGCTCCAAGTATGCCCATCTCTCTAGATCATGATATCCCCTGCTATCAAGATGCCACAATGCTCATGTCGAGACCACAGCACGAAGTAGCCTCTCGAGCTGATACATTGACAGTGTACGTCCTTAATCTTCTTCACAGCTTCAACAGGCGAGCAATTTCAACGGACAACCTTAAAACAGGTCACTCTCAGACTCAGAAATGTCCTCAACCCGGCTCCCATGAATAGCCGATTTGCAGCAAAAGCCTCTACCTCACCTAGTAGCTTCAGCTTTCAATACCACCACAGACGTATATATCACGTTCGCTGACGTGGTGAGTCAACGTACTTGATATTTACAGATGGGAATTCCTGAAGCGACAGAGTATACCACTTGAAGTCGTCAAGTTCCGTCGCTAATGCTCTCCAGCACAATACAAAGTCAACACTTGGTAATAAACACACTGCCTGCTACCAACATACCTTAATCTTACACACGACGTCTGCCATACCTAATGCCCATACCTCATCATATGGCCTTGCTCGGCACAAACTGCAGTCGTGCCATCTCCTAACCGTTCCCCTTTCCAGAGTCATGATGCAACTTTCACATCAAAAGCCAAGTAACATCAAGCTCGCCGAGCTCTTCTCGAGCCACCATGACAAGTCTCCAGCTGCTGTCAAGCATATCCCTTCAACGCCATCAAGCCAACGAAGGAAAGGTTCCCCCTACTATTTGCACGCAAAAGCACCCATTCCCCTTACTCAACCCAGCTCCTGTTGCTATTCTTCCCAATCCTTCGAACCGAGAACCACACCGAAACTATTGAAATATCGCCAAAACCTGCCCGCCACAACTGACACGTCCCCATGCCTCGTACGAGCCGCACGCTGCTAACCGTGAATTCCCATCCATGGCCTCATATTGACGCCCTCAGCAACCACAAAACTATCCCCAAGAGCATACTCACCGGGGGAAAATGTCTCTGAGCCGGCCTGCCTCGACGGCCGGCGGCAGCACCGAGGGTCACACCATGACATGACTTTTCCATGTGACGTGGCGTGTTCCACTGACTGTCTCTCTCTTCATCTTCAACAAAGATGATAGAGGCTTGCTCACTTGTCAAGGCCATCCCTGTTCTCCTGGATATCGAATCATCATGGCATGCCGCAAGTTCAATGACAGCCGTTGTATGTAGTACCTGCACGTAGCCCACGCTTCCGCATGGGACGAACGGGAAAGAGTCACACAAAGCCACCCTTGCATCCCATCGCATACGAATGCTTCTCTCGAATGCTTCCAGAACACGTTCTCGAATGCCGAGATTGGCCGCCATACACGGGTTCTTCCGCAATTGGCAATGGTATTACCAGTACTGCCGACTCATATGAAGGGCCAAGCACATGACCAGGGCAGTAGCAGCATCTCCAATATACATAGTACTACGCTCCCGGCCCTCACTGCCTAGCTTCCCCGACAATACAGATCGTGACAGGTGACCAGAGGGGGGGCTTCTAGAAGTCAGAAAGACTGGTTCGTCCTCCACCATTATTATTCGTGCCCACCGAAGCGAAACGGCCTCATTCAGACAAACCCCCCCCCCCTTGCTAGCACGGGGCTGTTACGGCCGATGGTTATCAGCGAGCTCTGCCGCGCGCCGGCCAGCCTCCATCCGCTGTCCTGGCTGTTGGGTCGGACAGGGAAGTCAATCCCTTCGCTTCTTCTTCTTCTTCTTCTTTCTGCTTCTTCGTCTCTCTCCATCGGGCTGCTAGTAGTACTAGAAACTCGGTTGCCCAGGGGAACATTCCCAGGCGGAAGCGCTCCCCGGCGCCAATGACCCTAGGGGAATCGTTGGGAAACCCGCCCTGATGGATTTGGTGAAATCCTAGTCCCCGGGCAAACGCACTTGGCACTCAGTAACCGAGGGAGATTGCCTGGATCCAGCACGCCGGAGATGCATTAGGAGAGATTGCTTGTATGTACATCCCAGACTGGCCTTACGATCTCTTTGACATCCTAACGCTCAGGTGATTGTTGACATTGTATTGAGTATGAAAGTTGAATGAACACTTCGGACCCGCACACAGTCACGCCGTTTCGGTGGCGTTTGACAACCCCCATGCTTGAAGAAGAAACATTGGAGACATGGGTCCCGGGGAAGGGGGGAGAAACGTGGCACTGGCTTGGTGGCTTTTGCCAAATCCAGCAGCAGTTGTGCCTGAATGCCAATTAGCTGCCCTGAATCGCATCGCTGTTGTTCTTGAAACGGCCACTTGCACGGCGCGGCTCTTGCTGCCGGTTCCCCTTTGACGGCATCATCCGTAATAAACCGCAGAGGCATGCTCGTGTTCGTAAGAAGCAGGCGCTTCGTCGCCAGGGCATGCATGATTCTCAACCCACGGCGATGCAGAAACGGGGAAAGAGGCCAAGGGTCCAGACTCCAGACGCAGCATTTCTCCGGCTCCATCTCTCAGCTCAAGATGCGGCGAGGCGAACACGGCGATACCGTCCTGCATGCGTGCCAGACGCATTGCCGTGCTCCGTAATCCTGCTGCTGCTCCGTGCTTGACAGCGACACAATCAATGCCGGTCCGTCCCTTCTCCATGATGTTGTCGACTCGCGAGTCATCGCACGGGAACCTCAAGGGGGGACCACTGATGCAAATGGATGGCATCTGTCGTGTGCACTCATGTAGGCATGTACACACGCTGTACGAATACGACTCGTCGAGATTGGCCGCAATCTTGCTCTAAACCGCTAGCAGCAATCTTGGTGTGCTTCTGGCGATTGTTTCATTTGATGACGGCTGGGCCACGCATTCCGCTGCCATTTCCAAAAGTTGGTAACCAACCACAGGCCTTGCTTGTTTGACCTCATCTCACCGGCGGAAGAGCATCCGGTGCAGGGATCGATGGCCAGGCTGCGCCGTTTTCTCAAGCTTGTATTAGCAACGAAACGTAATAGTACTTGTTGCTTCCTTTCAAATTGCCCAAAGGTCGTCGGCTGAGTGCTGCACGAATCGACGATGCTAGTAGTACTCCATTATCGCCCTGCAGGTATTGCTGTGAGCAAGGGTCGAATATGCGGATAACGGCTGACAGGGTGCAACCGAGCGTCCGCTGAAGATTCTGCCAGGCGTAGCTATTTCCAAATCCACTTGGCTGATCACAAACACGGGGCATGCTGGGGATTTCTCAGCGTTCAACACTCACGACTCCAGTATGGCGCGAGTCCCCCTGGGTATGGGTGTACCTGAGAGTCGGCATGAACATGGGACGGGGCCGCAGATGCCTGCAGAGCATTTGGAGTCGAGAAGCACCCCGTATGTACTGGCACAGGATTGTTCAATATCAGAGCGGTGCCGCGATGTATCGTGTCGTCGTGTGCGCGAACCGTGAACCTTGACTCTGCAATAGCCATCTATATGCCGCCACATGCATGCTACGCCGCGGCTGTAGAGCACTTGAGAAGCCATTTGGGTGGATCTCACCCGAGAACTGACACGTCTTGTCCTTGCTGTCAACAGAAGACACCCTCTCACTGCTGCTCCAGGTCATATTGCCGTCGTCTCGTTGTTGCCCAGCCGCTTCCCTGGCGCGACAAAGACCCATGGCGACAACGGATAGGTTCCGGCCTGTGAATTGTGCTCCGCTACGTGTCAAGAGTAGAGCCGTGCCGGGATTCCTCTGTCTTCCGTGCGGACGGCAGAAAGGCGACAGTTGGCCGAAGTTTGAGTGGAACGGACCGATCGTCGATGTGTTGTACTCCGTGCAGAACAAGCTACAAGCCCTCACCCCCCCAGCCCCTAGTTCTATCGACGGCGACAAGTCATGGGACCCTTGTGCCTCACCAAGGTCACCAAGAGCCCTCCTATGAACAAGCGGCCGAGCAAATGTTCGCACTGTCGACAAGTCCCCTCGGTCCATGTTTCGAGAATGAACGGAGTCTGTGGGGAACCCCAATCTCGGAAGGGCGTTTCCATCTTCTAGAAAGCTTCCACAGACACAGGACAGAGGACGCATAACATCAGGGGAGAGACCGGAGAGACCCTGGGTGACGCTGCAGAGTGCTGCCGAAGCCAGCCCTGCCGTTCGCCTTCTGTCCGCTGCCTGAAATGCGGGTTTTGGTGCCCCGTACTGTACTCCTGGAACAGAGGGAGAAGCTTGGAAGAAGCTCTGCTGTGGACCACAGCTTGCCAAGGGCACGTTGCACCCAGCAGCAAGCACTCCGTATGAGCATTCCGTCCTTGTTCTGGAAACGGCTGCTCCCCCTCCCCTGCGGACGCTTCGTACAAATCACCTTGTGCGACTTTGTGCAACTAGTCCTGCAGGCCCAAGGCATACAGGGCCGTCGCATAGCTTCGAGAAGGATTTCCATGCAGCTGGTCAGGCATTGGGGCGACCGACATGGCAAACGCGGATAGCTGAAGGAAGACTGCACATGTACAGCATGTTTGTCTGCTTCGCAAGCCTCTTTCGCCTCGCTCGGGAAGCTGAGGAATAGCGCGCAAAGCCATTCGGCACCCGAAACCTGGTAAATGCAGTCTAGACTGCTCTACCGCCATCCTCTCGCAGGAGGGATTGATGAAGATGTCGACAGACTGATTGCGGGAGGTCAATTCCGGTGGCCCGCCTGCGGTTGGTGCAACCACTCGCTCCGCGTCGGCTCCATCAGGCGCAGCAGAAGACGGATTCGCTGCTGAACAGCTCGGCGCGACCAGCTTGCTAACGAGCCTTCGATTCCGTTACATTCAGCTAGCAACGTCCAGATCCCTGGGACGGTTTACTACAGGCGCGGGCCGAGTAGAATCTCCGAGACTATCACCAGATAGGCGATGGACGGTCATATCCGCCTTGACGTGGCACAGGACGGAGTCGTGACGGCGGGCTCTGTGCTGGGAGACAAACAAACGCTGTGCCACTGACTGGCACATGCATATTGCCATGCTTCATGTGTGGTATTCCAAACGCGGCCTTGTGCAGCCACTCGACCTGCCATGCTGTTGCTGCTGCTGCTGCTGCTTGATAACCTGGCAAGGGGCTGCACGAGCAAGGCCCTGTGGCCAAGCTGCGTCGTATCCACTGCAGGCCTTGGATTGCCCTGGACTGCCTTGGTTTGAGGATGATGCGACGCTCGCATCATGGTCGATCAGGGACGCCCAATGGTGGACATCGGCGAAGGCCCTTTTGCCTTGCTTGCCTGGGCAAATGCTTGTTCACGGCCAGCAACCCTGGGCTGGTGCTCCTTTGGTCGGTACACGTATGCAATTCTCTGCAGTCTCCCTTATTGCAATGCCAATGCATCTCCGTGTATTCGGAGAAAGCCGACGAGGCAACAGCTGAGGAGCGGCACTTCTCCTTAATGCCGGCATAGGGGTCTTCGGGACGATCGTGGCCTGAACCGAAGCCCAGCGAGGTTGACAAGCATTGGATGTCGAAACAAGCACCGTGCGGAAGAGTCAATTACCCTGAAAGATGCTGCGGAGTGCTCCGATGACCAGTCTGTAGTATGTAGGGAGGTAAGGTATGAGCATAATGCATTTGATCGTTCACCAAGAGAAGACACCTTGATATGGATCTTGTGTTTTGGTGAGGACCTGGGCGGTGAAGCATAATGCTGCAGGAGACACCCTGGGTTCATGCCTGTTGCTTTTGTCCGTTGGAGGCAGGAGCGTGCGAGGTAACCGCAACCCACGAAATTCCCACGAGCTGCAATTCTTCCAGAATTGTACTGAAGGGCACACTTCGTATCACTGGGCCAATGACATCAATGGTACGATTGACAGACATTGATCTGGTAGGGCCATCACGGAGGTGGCACGATTCAAAGGCCGTCACTCTATTCTAGGTTAGCAGTGCACAGCTGGTGTTATCCAGAGAGAGGCACAGAAGCTGAGCAGTAGCACTTTAGCTTTTACGTCTCAGCCGAGCAAGGAAAGACAGAAGCGGGCTGCTATCAGATGAACTTCGTCTTGCCGGCAGATGGATCAATGTCACCTGCACTTCCCGCTCTGCAGGTAACACGGCACATGCAATAGCGCTGCTACCTTATTCCCTACCGTGTCCCCATCATGCAAGTGCCGCGCAAGTACATCGAATTCAAGGGTGGAAACACAGGGCATCTGGGAAGGGTAGACCAGGAGAGCTGGAACCCCCCCCCCCCCCCCCCCCCCCCCCCCCCTCCCCTCGCCCCTACAGTACAGTGCAGCAGCCCTGTCGAATCAAACGACAATCATGCCAACTGAGATCGGAGCTGAAAGGGAGGACAACAACGCAAGTCAGTTGCGGCGTTTCGTGGCGCCCAAATTCTCACAGCAAAAGCAAGTACAAACACGGCACCGGGGAGCTCAGGCACGGCCGTCCGAGGAAGCTAAGGTACCTAGGTAAGTATAAGTGAGCAAGGGGAGCTGGAGGCGTGTCGATGAGAAAACGCCACCACCACCAAGCCCAGGCAATTGTGAAACTCCCTTTGCCTGCCAAGGTATACCGGCCTGGATGTGCCGTTTCTGATGTATCTCTTCTCACTTGCCACCTTGATTCTTGTTACCTCTTATGATTCCTTTTCTTTTTTTCTCGGGACGGTTGATTAGGGTGTTAGACATGCGGCCGTTTCCCTGTTGATCCTCTCGCCGTTCGTCTATCATGTACCTCTGGAGCCAGTACATAGCAGCTCTGGACCCAGCCTAAAAGCAGTGGAAATTGGCCCGGAACCGCTCCCGCGGGACACGGACCGAGACACGGCGGCAAAAGAATAACAAGAAAGCAGAAGAAAAAAAAAAAAAGGAAAAAGCCGAGAGGGGGACGGGGTTTGCAATGACTCGGGATCGGCGGGAGGGAACGGTGCCACGGCAAACAGGTGGTAATAACAGCAGCAGCAGCTGCCGCGGCGTGTGCATACAGGTACTGGGTAATTCTCACGGCAAGGTTAGGTATGGGATGTTGGACTTACTCGTAGGCAGATGGGCACATTTGTCTCATCTCTCCTTGCAATTCGCCACTGCAGCCGTTTATTCTGGGGCCGAAAGTTGATGTCTCTGTGATTGATCGATTGCCCAAGTGTATGTACTTGCAGCCTGGGGTTGGGTAAGTCATGTTCCGAGCGAGCGGAAGTTCAGCCGACGATGCTGCCGCAGCAGCAAGCTTAGCAGCAGCAAGCTTAGCAGCAGCAAGCGTGAGCCGCATCTTGCCTCTGCAAGGGAGTCAAAATTGCTGCTTAACACGGAATAGCACAAAACTCGAAGTATCAGCCAAATAGATTCACCCAGTATTAGAAGATAAAGCGAGGGGGAAAAATGCTGGTACAGACGGCACGCAGCTGACCGAGCAGCTTGGCCTCTCACGGCCTTCGCCTCGAGCCTGTTTGCATTGACGCTGCGAGCGAGCTTGCTTCTAAGCCGTCGGGGGGTACGAAAGTACCTACATGGAACAGATTACAGTAATAGCACGGCCGGCTCCGTTTCTAGAAGACTTCTGTTGCAGCGGGACGAATTCGAAGCTACCGTTTCGGGTAGATGCGCTATGCTGAGTGCGACATAGCGCCTAAGTTGGGGGACACTAGATGGGCAAAAGAGCTGGAACTGCAATGTAATAACAGTTCCGTAAGGGGACTAGCTGGATGAAGCACCTACTAGTAATGCAAAGGCGGGAAAAGAAGGAACTTAAAGTAGCGCCTGGACTGTGGATTTATCGGGGGACTTTTCTCTATGGATGGAGCTCTCGGGGAGGAGTTCTGTTGTCCAATTCCCAGGTTGCCGTAGGAGGCAGTGGAAAGAGTTTGAAGGTACAAGTAGCTTGGCCTACCAGGTAGGTAGGTAGGTAGCGTAAAACACATGTATGTGGCTCGTTTGCATGTCCCGTCGTTTACTGTGATGCCGTTTCCTCGGGTCTCTTCCCCTGGATCTGTCATCTCCTTTGGTTTGGTCCCGTCATCCGAAGAGCCTAGACACGAACCCGAAAAATGACAGAGACGGGATGGAAAAAGAAAACAATAATGAAGCACAAGAAAATCACCAGCCAACAGGGAGACGAAAAATACAGCAGAATTCTCAGAGAGAAAAGTGCCGCTATCTCCCCTCCCCTTGGCTGGCTCCCTGGGAGGAGCCCTGTCTTACCCGGCCTGGAGCTCCGGGGAGCTGATGCCGGCGCGACGGAAGGGCTCTGGAACAAGCAAGGCGCAGGACCAGTAGCAGGACCACCAGCAGCAGCAGCAAGCGGCTTCCTCCAGGACCTGCAGGACCCTGCATGCAACAGCTACATGCAAGATACATGCATGATCGGGGGTGCAAATACCGTTCCCGTGCGGACGGTGCCTGCAGGAAACAAGTACCGTTTCCGTTCATGGACACGGATGGGGGTGGTGGTGGTGCAGGCAGAAGAGGGACAGGAGTCTGGTAGCTGCTCCACTAATGAGGCTCTCTCGTCAGGGAGTGATTTGCCTGGGTAACTACCTAGACTAGCTGCCTGCAAAGTGCGGCCGGTCAGGACGGGACCTTTTCTCTCCCCCTTCGTTCCTGAACCAGGTACACGGTGCCGGGAGAATGCCTGGGGCTGCTGGACTCGGGCAATTGGTATTAGGTACGTGGATAATTAGAGTAGGTTCCTCTGGCTCGCTCGCTCTGTTTTTCGCGGATACGGTAAGATGGCCGATGGATCGAGGCTTGGATCAAACGTTGTTTCTCGCGTGTCCGGGCTGTAAATTGATGAACACGCCACGGCGGTGGTACCCGAGGGTTGGACATGTCGTCTGAAGTTGCTGTGATCTTGTGCGACATGTTGCTGAAGAGATACAGCGAGGTATTATTTGATGTACATTGATGTGCACGAGTAATTAGGTAGGTAGTGCCAGGGCGCATGTCTGACGGCATAATGTTGCCTGAGTGACTGACTCCAATGACAGACGGACTGACGGCATCATTGTAACGGCTTCCATTAATAGCAGCTGCGGTGCCTGGCGACAGTATCCAATACATCTACAGTATGAGTACCTACTTACGCCAATGATACAGTCGTATGTAGGAGGTATCGAGTCCAACTTACTCGCACTGCATAAGGTCAGGTAAGGTAAGGCAAGGCAGCTGGCACAAAACTCTCGACTCGATAATACGAGGCACCCTCTGGAGCATGAATAGAGTTGCAGCCCAGCGTTTTGGGTCGGGCTGACCAGGGGCGTGGCGGCGTGAAGCTCCAGCTCGCCTCGACCTGCTGCTGACATTTAGGTAGGTACTATGGATAGCTCCTCTCCAGGGCTGTCTGTACAGGTACGCATCCATCATGTAGAACCTTGAAAGCGACGCGCGGCGGTTGAATTTGGATGCACTGGATTTGGATGGATTGGATGGATGCCACAGCACATGCTCCCAGCGCCCCGGACGGGCTGCCTCGGGAGCTACAGTGGCCGCAGCGCCTGTAATACAGCGCAGCTCGCCTCACACCAGCCGCTTGCACTACTAGGTAGCCTGTGGCTTCCATAGGAAGGTAGGAGGTGGGTGCTCCTGACCTCAATGACTGGAAGGTCCCAGCCATGACCAGCATCTCCTGGTCTCCATCAGAATGGCTTCATCTCTCTCTCTCTCTCTCTCTCTCTCTCTCTCTTTCTCTCCTCCCACACCAGCGATTGAATCAATATGCCTGCGGCTCCACCGTCCGCGCCGCCGACATGGTTTGACCAGGGCTGCAGGGCTCCACTGTTCCAGGAACGAAAAAAAGACATCATGGGTCTGCATATGATGCCTCGCCCCCCCAACCAAAGTGACAGCTGCCGCGGATGCAAGGCCTGGATGCAATGTTGTACTGGTGTATGTACTTACACAAGGTACAGTAGATGCAGCCTCCAGAACCAGACGGACAGGGTATGTACATGATGGCATCCATCCCTGCCCATCCCGGTACCCTCCTTTTCCCCTGGCTCCCTTGTCGCTCCCACAGAGCCGGGCCTAAGACGGGCAATTTTGGCATCCATCCCTCTGGAACGTCGTCTTTTTTTTTTTTCGCCTGGGATTCCGCCGCCAGACGAGGTATACCGGTACCTTGGAAGCGTCTGGTGTGTCGTTTTTGTTTTTGCTTGTGTTTCTCCTGGACCAAAGGTTCCTTTTTTTCCTTGCGAGTGTTTGTTTGCATCGAGAAGGAAAGGAAAAGAGAGACGAGTCTTGTCTTGTCGCAACTCAATACCTACAAAAGGGCTCCCTCCCTCCCCCTCCCGATTCTCTTCATCCAACCTCTCCCATTCCTCAACAGGCAATACAATCAATACAAACACTCTCTCATACACACACAAACACACACTACTCAACAGTCTGTCTCCCTCGGCCAACTTATACACCAGAGCAGCAGCGTCAATCCTGTTCGCGCTCTCCAGGCACAAGCACAACAGCAACACGACACCCAAGCCCTCTTCATCTCATCTCATCTCATCTCATACACCTCTCGGGTCTCCACACCTCACTCACACACCTCACACACCTACTACTACTACCTACTTACACACTTGCTCACGCTCACTCTCACCCTCCGTCCGTTCCTTTTTTCCTCCCTGTGCTGGCCCGAATACGGCACACACCCCATTATCCACACAGTTTCTCGCACCAGCGTCAGGTACCCGTGTCCGGCTCTCTCTTAGCGGCGTATCCGATTGCCCTCCACAGCGACTTGTGCGCTCCCGTTTAATTAATTGCCTACCAAGAGCTTGCCGTTCGTCAACAAGGGCCCCTATTCCCTTAATTCCTACGGCTTCCATCGAAAAGGCTGTTTGATCTTTTTTTGTTTATTTATTCCTCTCGCTCCCCGCCTCCGGTTTTCTGGTTTCGACCATCATCTCTCTTAATCCCTTTGCGTCTCTTTTGCCTTGTTACACTCTCTTTACTTGCGCGCCGGCGTCCACGAAACAACACATCAGTCCACTCCTTTGGCTCTTGAAAAGACTCGTCATCACTCTCTCGACTTAATCTAATACTACGCCCTCTGGCAATTCACGCTCTCTCGCACACACACGCACAGCTGCTTCGTCATCCATCTTTTGACGAACATTCCAAACACTGCCTCATACTACTACTACACCCTCTTAATGTAAGTCGACGCAGATACACATTTGGCCCTTCCACCTCCTCGATCCCGCCCTTGCTAACAAACATGCCCTCTGCAGAAGCTCACCTTCACACCACCAGCAAAATGATTGAGTCCTGCTCCAAGCCCACCAACTTCGGCCGTGGCGCCTACGACACCACTGGCCTCCCCAAGCCTCCTCCTCCTCAGCCTCAGTAAATGGGGACGCGACCTCATGGGATTCCGGCAATGCTCAACACCAAGAATGCGGCCCACGCCCCCATCCTCCTTCTCTTCGTCTTCACCCGTTTTCCGAGGCTCAGTCGCAAGCGATGGAGCCTCACATAATACTTCTTAATACTCTCTCTTAATACGCACTCCCGGGGACTCATACGACGGATTTTTTTTGTTCCAAGACATTCGCCGTCGACCAACGAAAGAACGCTTCGCACGATTGAACAAGGCCTTTTCCTTTTACTCAGAGGTTTTCCCAGATCACCGGCGTGATCTCGGACATGTTACTATTTCAACGGGATTCCTTCTCTTTCACCGAAAAAAAGGGAAACGGCGTTTTACTTAGACGGACTTGTTTACGGGGATTCATTTTCCCAGTTGTTTTGTTGTTGTTTTTCTTCTGCTTCCCTTGTCCTCTTTCTCTGCTCTCCCTCCTCGGCCGGGACTCTTATGCTACCCTTTTACCCTTGACAAGGGCGGCACATACTGGAATGCGCGCCAACGATGCCGATTGTTTTGCCTCTCTCAATATTTCTCGTGTCATTCCGGATTCTGTCGGAGATCGAGATGGAAGCAATCGGGCCATTTCACATCCCCAACATCAAGGGTCAAGCCATGCTGGGGACGAAGGCGAGAGAGAGAGCAAGAGTGGGAGAGGCCAAAAATGGTTGGGATTTGTCGAACTTCAAATTGGGATCTTTTGCATATAGACATCTTTGGGTGACAAATACCTGCAAAGGATTTGTCCCGGATTTCTCGATTCTGTTGGGCTCCTTCGCGGGGATCGCACCAATGCAGGTACAAGCGGCGTCGACCAACACAACACAATTACGCAGTGGTTGGTTCCAGCGCTCCTGTTGCCTTGCCTTTTTTGCTTTTCTTTTTCTTTACTTTTTCTCTCTCGAATGTACAATGAGTCTGGGGTTGGCAGAGAGCACACACACACACAAAAAGACCTTTGGCCGTGTTGTTGGCTATGCATGGCCCGAGCTGAAGATTGGCTCCGGAGGATACCCCCCCTTTTCCCTGTCTTTTTTCATTTTCTCCAAAGTTTAGATAGAAAACCCGATTATAGAATAGAAACTTGCTTCACGGCAAACATGTCAAACATGTTGATTTACTCTTACTCAATTTGTCCTCTGCTTCTGCTTGGTCTTTGCAATGTAAAATTGTGAATGGAATTAAGTAAAGATCAATACTACCCAGTCATCTATCGCTTTTGCTAGTAGTAGCTCAATTTCCTTGTTCTGGTCCTGCGATGTGTTTGTGATGTGTCTGTGATTTGTGTGTGATAAAAAGGCTGGCTCGAGTTCACGGGAGGGGGGAAGGCGAAGAGGAAGAGAGACAAGGGCAAGGAGAGATTTCGCCACGGCAAGGGAAAGAAACGCCCAGGCGAGAGACAACAAGATCTTGGCACTTAGTTGTACATGATGATGGGGAAAACTTGCATGTAACATGAAGGTACATGTATGTATGCAGGTACGATTACAGAAGAAAAAGAAAAGATTGTGATATGAATGCGCTGAGACACGGGAGAGAGAGACGGAGGGAACACGCCCGCCTTGTCTTTTTCCTTTTCCCTTTCTTCTGTTTTTTTTTTTCTTTTCTTTAAGTAGTGTTCTTGTTTCGTTTGCAGATTTTCCCTGTTTATTGGCCTTTTTTCTTTTTTTTTTTTCTTTTTTTTTTTTCTTTCTTGTTTTTGGTCGGGTGTGCTTTGGGGAGCTGAGACTATTGGGGGAACTAGTACATGTATGTACGTACAAGTACACGATGGATTCATGTAGGTATAATGGATGGATCTAAGCCTGCAAGGGAGACGATGAGAAAAAAAACAAGAGACAAAAAACAGAAAAGAAGAAAAAAAAAAACCAGATTTCCTTAGGGGATCGTCCGACTTGGCGGTACGGTATAATACAAATGTCGAGTTGGCCCTTTTTCAGCCGCATCGTTAGTTTGATCTGGTTGGACAACTGGGCCCGATTCCTCATCTCCTTGGATACTAAGGTACCAATCTTTTCTTATCCTCCCGTCGACAAACACTCGATCTAACGCTTTGGCTTGCCTTTAGAAGTACTGTAGCTAGGTTGGTACTTGACTTGCTTTATCTACCTCTGCACCCTCAACGACTAAGAAAGAAAAAGCAGAAAGAAAAATATGAAAGAAAAAGAAAAAGAAAAAGAAAAAGAAAAGAGTGAAACACATCACACATCACAGACATTCCCCCCCCCCCCCCTAACAACGACGACGACGCAAGGGAGATGGATGGTACTACCATTGGCACCTAGACCGAGGGAGCTGGACCCAAAGCTCCGGGATCCGGGGAAAAGCAAACCGGGCTTGCAGGAACTAATTCCACTACTACCTACCAAGATTTTGGTTGAACAACTAGCAAATAAAAAGGGAGAGCTCGGCTGGATTCATGCAAGGCATGGACTACTACAGTTGTAGTAGTAGTAATAAGTAAGGTAGTAGTAGATTAAGATGGGTTAATGAACTACTGAACGAACAGCTGCAAGATACATATTGGACAGATGCACGATGCAAGATGCGAGATGGAGATTGGAGATTAGGGGGGCTGTGGTGTGTGGTGGATATGCGGAGTGAAAGGGGGTGTGTGTATGTTGTATATTGTATGTATGCAGGTCTTCGTCTTGAGGTGACGCCTCTTCCTTATGAAGCTCTGCCTGTATATAGGTATGATTCAAGTGTGGAGTTGCGCCTTTGTAGGTACTGTTGAGACTCCTTTACAGATGCTCTGGGTCGTATACGTACCTACATGTACTTACGTGCAGACAAGGTACAAAGCACCATACTGTGATCAACTTTAAGAAGACGAGAACTTCAAGGCGGGTGTTTGTCAGTCTACATCAGCCCTCGCTGCACCACTCCGTATCGAAATCACATTCTAGTAAGACGAATCCGAGCGAAAAAAGAAAGAAAAAAAAAAAAAAAAAACGTTCAGTCTAGCTATCAGTTCCATTCACAGTGTTTCGCTTGTGAGTTTTTTCGCCATCCTGCAGAGGTACCTTGGACCAAAGAGATGTGCCTTCGTTCATCGGACAAGAAGAACCTACCTACGCAAAGTGAGACCTGCATATATGTACCTACTACCTTAGTAGTCGTCCGATTAGCTCCAAGTCGATATATGACCAAACTCTCTCGTCCCTTGAAATTCCATCACAAATCTACTTTTTTTCATCCTCACTTTTCCGCCTCATCGCCAGGAACGGCACGGCTTATACGGACAAAGTCCCCGCGCAAGCCGCTTCTCGGTTCAGTGACACTTGAATGACCATTCTGTCACATAAGTACTCGGAAAAGGGCAAAGTAGAAGAGACGAAACGGCTTGGTCTGGTCCAGATCGGGCGTATCAGATGCGCTTCGCTTAGCATGTATTATCCCCGAGCTTTCTCTCCAGTAAGGTACTAGTAGTTTGCTTTCCTGCGTGTCCCCGATCGATTTCATTAACAGATTATGCCGTTAACAAGCACCTAGGTAGTGATATACTCACTCACGCACGGCACTCCAGTCTTCTTCCTAGACGTGCGTGTTGGACGTCAAGTTTATGGAGACATGTCGCCGTTTGCCTTGGGTACACGCCCCCTCCCCCCTTTTGCTAGATTGTCTGCACGGAACGACGGGAGCCAGGGCGTGCGTTTGCTCGTTACATACATAGGTCCTCTTGTTGGCTGCCTACCTACATCGTAGCTTTGTACGTGTTCCGTAAAGGTAATACCTAGGTAGGTAGTCGGCAATGGCTCCTGGCCGAGATGGTTGATGCTGTGACTCAGATATCGGAGATGTGCCGCGTTACACGAAGCGGCGGTAGTATTACTGCCCTGAAAACGACGACGTGACACTTCTACCACGTTGCTGCTGCTACTACTACTAGAGGCATGTGCTACTACGGGTCTACTGGTAATAGATCAGGTTCCAAGTTGCTAGGGACATGCTCTCAAGCTTCATCGTGCCCCAGTGAGCTCGGGATAGACATCTCTATCACATCAGTTCGTCAGTTCACCCCAGTGCTGTGCCGTACACGATATCAATATTCATCAAGGGAGTCAAAGGGGGCAACTCACGTCCGTCGCTGCAGCGGCATCTCCCTCCGCACCCTCTCCACCTCGTCGAGATCAATGTCCACGAAGCCAATCTCCTCCACGGCCCCGTCCTCGGCATTGCCCTCGGCATCCGCCACCCCCCGGAGGCACAGCAGCACCCTGCCCCAGGGATCAACCACCATGCTGCGGCCGTAGCTCGCCCGCTTCTCGTTGTGCCGGCCGACCTGCGCCGCGGCCACGACGTAGCTCTGCGTCTCAATGGCCCGCGCCCGGAGCAGCGTCTCCCAGTGCGCCTCGCCCGTGCGCAGCGTGAAGGCGCTCGGGTACGTGATGATTTGCGCCGCGCGGCTGGCCCAGGGGCTGCTGAGGCCGGGCTGGGCCAGCGCGATAGCCGTCTCCGGGAAGCGCAGGTCGAAGCAGATCAGGCTGCCTATCCTGCCGACGGGGGAGTCAAAGGGCGGGACGAGGCGCGTGCCGGGCTGGACGGTGGCGCTCTCGCGGAGGGCGCCGTAGTCGAAGACGTGCAGCTTGTCGTACGTGGCCGCGTCCTGGACGGTGCCGTCGGCGTCAATGTACAGCGCGCGGTTGAGGATCTTGCGGGCGGGCGGGCTGGCGTCCTGCTGCTGCTGCTGCTGGTGGTGGTGGTGGTCTCTTGTTGTTGATGGGATGTCGTGGATGCCGACGTGGACGGCAATGGAGTGAGCCTTGGCGGCGGCGCGGAGGCCCTGGACGAACGGGGAGGATGCCTGCGGGACGGCGAGGTCGAGCGAGGCCTGGGCGTTGAGGGCGATGTAGTCGGAGGCTTCCGGGAGGAAGAGGACCTGCGGGATTGATTTGTTGTCAGTCAGTCTGGCAGTCGGGGGACTCGGACGGCGCTGATCGAGGCATGCAACAACGGCTGTTTGTGATAGGATGGTGACGGTGCTGTGATGGAGGCCATCACCCCTCTGAGACATGGCTGAAGGCCAGCGGCAAACCTCCCAGGGGGCTGAGGAGGTGACGAGACAGCCGGATGCTCTCGTCCCTGTCCCATCTCATCCATGTAGTAATGAAACTCTCCACGAGGCTAGTATTGGTGTTCCATTTCCTCACTCTCCAACAAGGTTCGGATCCACCGCGGGACGAGTCTCTCCTTGGCTGCCATCTCAGACAAGAGAGTCTCACCACAGTCTCAAGCCAGGAGGCGAAACTTGCGGGGACGAAAAGTACATAGTAGATGAGGAGAGTGAATAGTTTTGTATGTATGTATGTATGTAGGGAGAGAGTGAGGGCATACTTTTGCGCCACCAACTGCCGCCTTGGCAACCAATCTCACGCACTGGTTCAGATTGGCAGTGATTGATCCGGTGGAGCAGATTTGCCCAACGGCCTAAAAAAGGATCAAATAGTTCATCAAACATCAGCAGTGCTTTCGTTTTGTGTGTGTCTTTGTGGTGTTGGAGGAGCGGGAATCAAAGTGTGTGTGGCTTGAGAGTTGAAGAATTGAGACGTATTACCGCGATGGTCATGGCTGATGCGTTGCTGTGCTGTGCTGTGCTGTGCTGTGGCGGGTGATGAATGGTTGGACTGAAGCTGCTATGCCGGATTTTTGAGATCTGAAGTTGTCTCTGGTCAAGTTGACTGGCTGTGTATAAAAGGTAGTATGTGGGACATATCGTGAGCTGTCCATTCTCTGAGCATCTCGAGACGAAGCTGATGAATTGGAAAGCGTCGACATCTCATTGGCGCAATCCTGCCGCTGCATTGCATAATCGCGGTATTGGGACTGCGTGTATTCATGTTAGGTACTTCACAACAGCAGCTCATTCAAGTGCCGGTTGATACATACTGATGAATCCCTTTTGCCGACCAACAGCTGTACAGAATCCTCATCTCAAGACAGAGCCATCCTCGCAATCCTCTGAACTCCAATGAGTCGAAATCCCTCCACTTGACAGCATCACCAAATTCACTCTTTGCCCCCTCTCTCTTATAGCAAAAATCCAGCACCTGTCATCTTTACCTCCCCCCCTTGTCTCTTCCTGTCATCAATCCATTCAGGCAAATATGTCATACCGGTCACCATGCGTTAGCTAGTCCTGCAGGATTCCGCTCCTGATAGAGAGATAGCACAAAAAAAATAACAGCTTAGCTACAAGCTTTCGTATCGCAGCGCCTCTCGCTCCGCATGCGTCAGTCGACTCTTGTGCAACCCACAACGGCGGAGCAACTCTCTTATTTTTTCTTCTCTCTCTCTTTTTTCTCTTCTCTTGTCATGCTCGGTCAATTGACCATGTGAGAGCTCTCCGTCTCTTGTCCTCTAGTCTGAACTCTGTGGTCCTCTGAGCTGCTGCTGCTTCCTAGAGGCTGCTCGTCGTGTAAGCCGGCATATACATACACCCACTCTCATAGAAGCATCATCAATCATCATCATCATCATCACCACCACCAGCTTCACCAAATATCCCATCATGCTCCTCCTCCTCCTCTCCCTCCTCTCCCCCCTCCTCGCCTCCGCCACTCCCTCCCAGTACTGCCTCTTCGGCCTCGCCCGCAACGAAGCCGACTTCTGCGTCGCCCTCTCCCTCTACCACAACCACTCCACCTCGGCCCACGACATCTACCTCAGCCTCTCCGTCCGGCGCCCCGTCCAGCCCGCCGGCGGCAACTCGTCGTCGCTCGGCTGGACCGCCGTCGGCGCGGGGCCCAAGATGGCCGGATCCCTCATGTTTGTCCTCTACGGCGATCCCGAGGCCTCCGCGCCGACGCTCAGCGTGCGCACCGTCAAGACGGGCCATGCGCGGCCCGTCCTCATCGCCCAGGACGACGATGAAGGCACCGCCGGCTCGCATCTCGACGTCCGCGTGGCCCAGACGAGCTGGACAAAGATCAACGACGATGATGCCTCCTCCTCCTCCTCCTCCTCCTCGGCGTACGTGGCCTCTGCCTCCGCCGTCTGCTACGGCTGCTCCGACTGGCCCGGCGCCGAAATCTCCCCCGAATCGGCCTCCCAGCCCTGGATCTGGGCGTGGAACAGCCACCAGGACATGAAGCCCTTTTCCGCCGACGCCCAGCTCGAGATGCACTCCCTCGTCGACGGCGGCTACGGCCACTTCTACGTCGACATGGCCGCGGCCACCTCGCACCACGCCGACGGCTTTCCCGCCATCAACCTCAACGTTACCACCACCACCAGCGAAAAGGACGCCAACGTCGGCACCTCGGACCGGCCCATGACGGCATCATCGTCACAAGCCGGTCTGTGGCAGAAGCTCCTCTCGCGGCCCCTCGCCCACCTGCACGGCTTCTTCATGACAACGGCCTTCCTGCTGCTCTTCCCCCTCGGCGCCCTGGCCATCCGCTCCGGCTCCGACCGCGCCTTCAAGCACCACTGGGCCGTCCAGGCCGCCGCCTCCGCGAGCGCCCTCTCCGGCGCCGTCACCGCCATCGTCATGAGCGACCGCGTCTTTGGCTCGCCGCACCAAATCGCCGGCGTCGCCATTGTCTGCCTGCTGCTGCCCCTGCAGGTCCTCCTCGGCTGGCGCCACCACATGGATTTCATCCGCATCTTTCGCCGGACGTGGATCTCGTACGCGCACATCGCCCTCGGCTTCACCATCTTGGTCAGCGGCTGGGCGAATCTCCTCGCGGGACTGCTGCTCTACGGCGTTGGCAAGCTGGCCATCGCGCTGGTCGCGCTGCTCATCTTGTTCGAGGCCGGCGGCGTCGGCGTCTGGTCGTATCTTGCCGCGAGGAGGAGGGCCCTGACGAGGGGGAACGTGCAGAAGGAGACGGAGAGCTCGGCGGCGTACTTTGCGCTGGAGGATATTCCCGAGAGCGATGAGGAGGACGAGGGGGCGGAGGAGAGGGGGCTTATGCACAAGAGGGAGGAGTGAGAAGTGGTTGAGTGTGTCAGTGGCGTGTGTGTTGATGCCTGCCTATGTGATAATGGGGTTATATATGAGAGTCATTTATGAAACACATACTACCTACTATCAGATGTCATTACGACGACAATCACCGCTCAAGGTCCAACGGAGCAAGGCACAACAGCAACGCACGAGAGAGAGGATATACCGCTTTCTTTGTTTTTCATGTCCCTAAACCGCTCAATCCACCTGGATTTTTTCCCTGTAAATAACCATCCGTCCTCCAACCGCTGGCCTCTCCTTGATGCCTTGCTTGCAAAACAAGAGAGGAAAAGAACAAAAAAAAATGTATCATACAACGTAAAACGCCCTGCTGAACCAAAAAAAAAGCACAAGAGCATGAAAAGAAAAAGAAAGAGGAGAAAGATGCGTAAAAAAGGGATATGGCAGAAACAAAAAAGTGGTCTGCATAGGTAATAGGTGGTAGCGCAGGGTATCTCAACCATGACTGAGCCCGCCCCATGATGTTCTCATCATTCCATCCATCCATCCGTCCATCCGTCCCTCCAAGTCCTTTCCCCCCCAAATGGTCCTCCCGATAGTTGTTCCCCCCCCTCCCGCCGTTGAGAAGTCATTAATTACTTAGGATTCGAACTGTCCAGGTGTATATAAGCGTGCTGCAGCGCCTTGGCCTCTCGCCCGTCCCTCTCCAGGACCGTGATCCAGTCGCGCAGTTGAATGTTCTTCCCCTTCTCCTTGTCCTCTCGCCACGTGCCCAGTCGGTTGCGGCCCTCCGTCGTCAGCGCCATGTTGCCGGGAGACGCCGCCGCTCCGGGGACGCCGTTCGGCCCTTTGCCGCCGGGCCCGGGGGCGGCGCGTGTCGGGGTACTAGCTCCGCTTCCTCCTCGGCCAACATTCATCCAGTCGTACGTCTTGCCCTTCTTGCCCTTGCCAAAGAGGCTTCCCTTGCCTCCCAGGCCCGCAAACATGCTGCTCGTCAGGTTCTGGTTCGCATGGCTGCTTGCTTCCGCCGCCTTCATCGCTTGCGTCTTCTTCAATTCCTTCTTGGTCATGGCCTTTTCCGTCTCGGGAGCCACAGACCCGGGCGTGCCGGGCGCAGCGCTACCCGCCCGTGAAGCTGAGGGTGCCCCGTCACTCATGCCTTCTTTGCGCAGCTGGCGTCGCCGCAGCCGAGCCTCTTCCCATTCGCGCTCTTGCCTGGCCAAGTCTCGCATGGTGAGCGTCACGTACGACGCAATCTTTGGCAGCTTGGCGGGCGGCTGTTTGACAGATGTGTCATTGGTGTCGGCAGGACCTGTAAAGTGTGAGTCAAGTGGAAAGGCTTCGCACGACAACGTTTCAAGCAAATGGATGATAACTCACGCTTCAATGGATTGGTGCCGCGACCACCAGCGTCGGCACCAGCGTCAGCCTCAGCAATGGACCCCCCGTTCGCGCCAACGTCCGTTTCCATGGGCTCCAATGGCTCAGTATTCATCGGAGCGGCAGCAGGTGCCCACTCTGGAGGCACGTCTCCGTGAGACGTCTTTTGCCTCGTCTTCGCAATCACGTTTGCGTCCTCCACCAATTCGCGTAGTCTCTGCTTTGTGGCGATGGACAGCAGCGCAAGTTGATCGACCAAGTAGGCGTCGTGCGGAATAAAGGATCCGCTGGTCTCGACCAAGGTTCCGTCCGGGCCGGGGCTCGTCTTGACCGTTACCTTGGGCGTTGCAAAGTTCTCGGGCAGCTTCATCTTGCCCATCGACTGGGCATTGTTCTTGAGCTCCAGGTTGAGTCCCAGATGGTGCTCGCGAGCAATCTTTTCCATCCGGCGATGAAGCAGCGCTACAAACAAGAATGGATCGCTAATCTCCTGCGTCCTCTGCACGGCGAGCCGCATAGCAGACTCCTGCCATGCCTGCTCAGCTGCTTGGGCGGCATACTGCGTCTGTGATAGATCCGTCGGCTGGGCGGGCTGGTTGGCGGGGCCAGCACCGTAGAATGACGACTTGGAACCGGGCGCATAGTGGGCAAAGCCTGTCCTGGCCTCGGGGATGGTCTCGAATGCGTTCGAGTAGAGTTCTGACATGTACTGCTCCTCTGCGCGGAGATCGATGCCCGTGCCGGCTAATGAATCCGTCACGTCGTATTCGTAGTCTCTGGTGGGCCGCTCTGCGGGCTTCTGAGGAGGGCCCATGATTCCGGGCGTCTGTAGCGGAGTTGCTGCTTGCGCCATGGGCTGCATTGTCGCGTTCGTATACTGGGGCATCGGCAGCGGGGACGGCAGCGGCACTGGTGTCTGCACGGGCGCTGGCGATTGCACCTGCGCTGGCGTTTGCACCGGCATTGGCAGAGGCATCGGGATCGGCAATGGTATTGGTGTCTGCACCGGCGCTGGGTGAGGAGGCTGCATGACGGGCGCTGAGACGGTGGGCGAGGCGGCTGGAAGACTGAGTCCCTGCGGAGGCGGAGGAGGATGACCGTTGGTGTAGGGCATGTGATAGCCGGCCTGCACGGGAGGTGTTTGTGCTTGAGCTTGAGCTTGCGCTTGAGGTTGATGTTGAGGCTGATGTTGCGGCTGATGTTGCGGTTGATGTTGAGGCTGATGTTGCGGCTGATGTTGCGGTTGATGTTGCAGTTGATGTTGAGGTTGATGTTGAGGTTGAGCCTGTTGTGCTTGAGGATATGCTGGCGATCCAGCGGCGGGAGGTGGAGTGGCTACGGGAACGGGGCTCATAGCATAGGGCGAGGCGGCGTAGGGTGATCCAGGTTGTGATGCAGGGCCGTCGGTTCGTACTCGTTTGTTGGGAGGCAGCGCAAAGCCCGAGTGTTGTGATGCTGCGGGAGAAGGGCTTGGCTGGGGAGGTGAATATGCCCGCGGCGGGACCTGGGACTGCTGGGGCTGAGGTTGCGCCATAGCTTCTCAGTTCTTCTGCAGTCGTCGAAAGTGAGCGGCGAGTGAGGATCGAGCAAGACCGGAGTGACTGTCCCGCGGCAGCTGACGGAGAAACAATAGCTGGGACGGCGAGCAAACGAAAGCCGGCAGCTGATTGAATTGCGGCAATCGAGGCGCTCAACAGGCTCCGAAGCCTGTCACGGGAGTCGGTCCTTGTCCCATCCGACGCACGGAGCTGGCGGCAGGCTGGCGGGAGGAGCAGGAGGCTGCGTAGGTGAGGATTCGAGCACCAGAGGATCGAAGGCGGGCGTCGTCGAGGATGGAGATGCGCACAGAGTCGCTGGTCTGGCCTGAGGTTGAAGCTTCACGGCACAAGGTTGGGGGTCGCGTAGATTTAAAGTCACGTGCACCGGAGTGCTTGCCAGCGAAACCACGCGTCACCGCCCGAGCTTTAGCCGGCAGTGTTCGTGCCTTACCTTGCCTATTATTGCTGCCGCCAATTGAGACGGGCTGGACAAGTCAAATCTGACTTGAGCATCACTTTCTGCTGCTTGTTGTGCGCAGCGACTCTGGCCATTGTCGCGCTTCTCTTGCCGGTGGGATTCTGGGGGCCATTGATGACGGGAACTTTCTTTCGCCTGTCATTTCGTCACTTGTCACTCAATCACTCACATACCCAGGGCATTCGGCAGCTCAATCACCACCGCCCAATGCTTGTGTGAGGCGCCTGTTTGCCATCCCTCCAGGCAGGCATCTTGATCACGTTCGCGACAATGGCGTCCAAGCGAAAGGCTTCCGCGATGAACGCGGCCGCCTCGGACGAGCCGGTGGATCCTTCCGACGAGCTCATGTTTCTGTGTCTTGGAGGCGGCAACGAAGTTGGACGGTCATGCCATATCATTCAGTACAAGGGGAAGACGGTCATGGTGAGGACACTTCTGGAGTCATACGGGGACATAAGACTGTTTAATGGTTGGAAACTAATAGGCATCTGCTCTTCCTAGCTTGACGCTGGCCAGCACCCTGCATACGATGGCCTCGCCGCCCTGCCGTTCTATGATGACTTTGATCTCAGCACCGTAGACGTGCTCCTCATCAGCCAGTAAGCGATGCCACTCCCTCCCCTTGAAGACCCCTTTCCTCCTTCCATCAGTCAGAACATAAAGTGCCAGGCGGCGATAGGTATAGGCGAAGGGCGTTTGGTGTTTGTAGCGAAGGAAAAAGGGCATGCTCCATCTACCTACACAGTGATGCCCGCCATGTGTGTGCTCCGAAGCAGTGTCTCTTCATTTGTCTCTCGTCTCTCCTGTTCTCTATCCACGTTATATGCCAGTTATGAATACAATACGTTGTCCGCCTGTTCACGCTTTGCCCCCCCGAGATCATCTCTCCGCTGCCTTGTGATGTACCGACCCAGACGACCCGCCACTGCCACTGCCACCGCTCTCGACTAGCCCTCGACGAATTCCTGAAGCCCATTGCTAACACGAGGGGATAGTTTCCATATAGACCATGCGGCGTCTTTGCCATATGTCCTGGCCAAGACCAACTTTCGCGGCCGCGTCTTCATGACGCATCCGACCAAGGCCATCTACAAATGGCTCATCCAAGACAGCGTCCGCGTTGGCAACACGGCGTCAAACTCGGCCACGCAGCTCTACACGGAGCAGGATCACCTCAACACGTTTCCGCAAATCGAGGCGATCGACTATCACACGACTCACACCATCTCCTCCATCCGCATCACCCCCTATCCGGCCGGCCACGTCCTGGGAGCAGCCATGTTTCTCATCGAGATCGCCGGTCTCAACATCTTCTTCACCGGAGACTACTCCCGCGAGCAGGATCGCCATCTGGTCTCAGCAGAGGTTCCCAAGGGCATCAAGATTGACGTGCTCATCACCGAGTCGACATATGGCATAGCATCCCACGTGCCGCGCCTGGAACGAGAGCAGGCTCTCATGAAGTCCATCACGGGAATCCTCAACAGGGGCGGTCGAGCACTGCTGCCCGTCTTCGCCCTCGGCCGCGCGCAGGAGCTCCTCCTCATCCTGGACGAGTACTGGGCCAAGCACCCGGAGTACCAAAAGTTCCCCATCTACTACGCCAGCAATCTCGCCCGCAAATGCATGGTCATCTACCAGACATATGTCGGAGCCATGAACGACAACATCAAGCGGCTCTTCCGAGAGCGCATGGCTGAGGCCGAAGCCAGCGGCGACTCGGCGGGCAAAAACGGGCCCTGGGATTTCAAATACATCCGCTCCCTCAAGAACCTGGACCGCTTCGACGACGTCGGCGGCTGCGTCATGCTCGCCAGCCCCGGTATGTTGCAGAACGGAGTCAGCAGGGAGCTGTTTGAGCGCTGGGCGCCCAGCGAGAAGAACGGCGTCATCATCACCGGCTACAGCGTCGAGGGCACCATGGCCCGGCAGATCATGCAGGAGCCCGACCAGATCCAGGCCGTCATGTCTCGCAGCATCGCGGGCGCCCGTCGAGGCCCAGGGTCTGACTCGGAAAAGGTGCTGATTCCCCGGCGGTGCAGCGTCCAGGAGTACTCCTTCGCCGCCCATGTCGATGGTGTTGAGAACAGGGAATTCATCGAAGAAGTTGCTGCGCCCGTTGTTGTACGTTTTTATGCCCGCTTCATGCCCCTTCTTGTACGTGCTCACAATTCAGTGACTAACGCTTCACACCAATTTGTCATTAGATCCTCGTCCACGGTGAGCAGCACAACATGATGCGCCTCAAGTCCAAGCTGCTCTCCCTCAACGCCAGCAAAACCCTCAAGGTCAAGGTCTACTCCCCCCGCAACTGCGAAGAGCTGCGCATCCCCTTCAAAGCCGACAAGACGGCCAAGGTCGTCGGCAAGCTCGCCTCCATCCCTCCCCCCAAGGACCCCGACGCGCCCGCGCCCCTCATCACCGGCGTGCTCGTCCAAAACGACTTCAAGCTCTCGCTCATGGCGCCCGAGGACCTGCGGGAGTACGCCGGGCTCAACACCACGACAATCACGTGCAAGCAGCGCCTGACGCTGAGCGCCGCCGGCGTGGACCTCGTCCGCTGGGCGCTCGAGGGCACGTTTGGCGCCGTGGAGGAGCTGCCCGAGATGCGCCGCGTCAAGAAGAACGGCGAGGCGTCGTCGGACGGCGACGGCGACGGCGACGAGAAGATGGCCGAGTACGCCGACGAAGAAGTGGCGAACCTGGTGGCGGCGTACCTCGTCATGGGCTGCGTCTCGGTGCGATACCGCACCAACGGCGAGGTCGAGCTCGAGTGGGAGGGCAACATGCTCAACGACGGCATCGCCGACTCCGTCATGGCGGTGCTCTTTTCCGTCGAGAGCTCGCCCGCCGCCGTGAAGCGCTCGTCAAACAACACCAAACACTCCCACTCTCACACGCACGAGTCTTCTTCTGCCAAGGGCCTCCTCTATGCCGCGCAGCTGGACAGCAAGAATCCGCACGCGCACGTTTCTCCCGAGGACCGTCTCGAGCGGCTGATGTGGTTCCTAGAAGCCCAGTTTGGCGCCGACAACGTTGCTCCCGTAGAGGATCCCAAACTACCACCTCTGCCCGTCGTCTCCCCCAAGGAAGAAAAGAAAGCAGACAGCAACAACCTTAACAACAACACTACTACCGCCAAGGACAACGACGGACAAGCGTCTCCCAAAGAAGAACCTCCCACCCACACCAACAACAACACCGACACCGACACAAAACCCCCCATCAAGTCCGAAGAATCAATGGACGTCGACGACGACGACAACAACAACAACAACACCAGCGAGAACGGCGATGACGACAATGCAAAGCAGCAGCAGCAACAGCTGGAAGAAGAGCGCAAGCACAAGGAACTCGCCCGCCTGCACAAGCTCGGGATCCCCGTGCCCGGCATCTCAATCAAGGTCGACAATAAGATGGCGGCGACGGTCTGGCTGGAGGATCTCGAGGTGGAGTGCGGCAACAAGGTGTTTGCGGATAGGGTCCGGGCGGTGGTGGAGAGGGCGGTCGAGGTTACTGCGCCGCTTTGGGGGTAAAGAAAGGAAGAAAGAAAGCAAGAAAGAAAGAAGAAGCACCAACGAGTTTGTTCGCTGGTGGGTGTGGTGTGACGGGGGTTCAAAGAGTCTTGGTATATTGAAGCGGGAATTTGGTCATGGGTAGGGAGGATGGACACATACGGATTTAGATATCAGCGACAGAGATATAAGAACACAAATTATTTTTACTACCTTCCATGAGAGGCATCACGATGAAGAGGTTTGTCATAGGTATAAAGGGCAGAGCAAGCCCATCATCGGTCCCGTCTACTTTCTTCTTCATTTTCACGTAAAGAGGCTCGCTACATCTACACACACAAGAGTAGTGATACAGCCTTTAATCATACAGAACGGGGGCAAACGGGAGCCACAGGTCAGCTCACTAGGTCTACTACATTTGATCAGAAAAGGAAAAAAAAAGATGAAAAACAACCAACAAATACAGGGAACTACCAAGACAGGCAACGATGCACTAAGTGCCACAGAATTACACCATCACGCCGCCCCCTTATTCCAGGTAGTTCTTCAACTCCTCCGACTCTTCTATCAGAGTGCTAAAAGAAAACGGTGCAAACGGCCAGCCCGCAAACTCGGCAAACTTGGAAAACGACTCGACCCACGCCAGACGCAGCGAGTGCAACATGGCACTTGTACCCTCCATACAAACCAAAATGGCAATTGCTGACAACTTGTTAGTAACTGCTGCCTCAGATGCGCGGTAATGGATAGGACTTACTCAGGAAGAACCACAAGTAGAAGCCGACGACAATCATAAATACACCAAGCACACCTCCCCTCGCAAGGCAGGGGCCAAGCGTCATGTCCCAGAGCACAACACTGAGCTGCTGGTGAGCAAGCGACAGCGCCCAAAGACGCAGGTAGGATGCCGTGTGAGAAACGCAGTTCAAACAGAATTCTATAAGAGAGCAGTTAGCAACACGCCATGCAAAGATCCTTTCTGCAGAAAAAGAACCTACCGATGGTGTGGATAATCTGGTGAATCATGACTTCGCCAAACTCAAACTCCTCATGGTCCTCATCAATGTCCTGGGAAATCATTGCTACGCCGCCGTCCTCGTCAAAGCTGTTGCCGTGACCGTTGGCCAGGGCCTCGGTCTCGTCGTCGCCGTCCAAGGCACTAACCCGGGATGTCTCGCCAAGGCCTCTATAACCCCTGGCGCGGGTCTTGCTGTTCTCCCAGCGGAGGTAGAACGGCTTGAGGAAGAGAAGAATAGGCACTTGGACAAAAGCGAGCAGCAGCAGGATCGACTGGACGTACTCTTGTCCGGCATACAGGCGCTCATCCAGCTTTCCGGGCTGCAAAAACATGTAGATCAGCATGTTCAGGAGGCCGGGAGGGTTCCTACCCGAAGCCTGCCAGTCAACCGACCACTTGTACACGATGCAGACGACGAGATAGCCAAAGATAGACTGGAAGAAAATCATGCCCGGGATAAAGTTGCCCCAGATGTCAATGGGCTTCTTAAAGTGCCTGGCGTTGATGTACGAGAAGCACAGCGAGTACGTCATGTGGGCCCAGCCGAGGATGATGCTCATCTTCATCTTGTAGCTGTTGGTGAAGAGCAGGTTGTTTTCGGTGCCGTGCCAGGCCCAGTCGAGGCCAAAGGGGTAGCGGTAGCCATGGGGGTTCAAGTGGGCCTCGAGCGCATCGCCCTCGGACCAGTGCTCAGGCCGCTCGTACTCCCAAGCGCTCTTCCAGAGAGTCATGGACTTGGAAAAGATGTCGTTGTACATGAGACCGGTGAAGACGGAGAAGACAGCCATGACCAGGGCGATGTAACGGCCGTAGAAGATCATGGCAAACAGTTCAAAGGATACCTTCTTCAGCGACTTCTCCCAGTAAATCATGGCCAAGGCGGCAGCAAGCATGATGATGGCGTGGCCCAAGTCACCAAACATGACGGCGAAGAGGAACGGGAAGGTGACGATGACGGGCAGGGCAGGGTTGACTTCTTGGTATGTGGCCGTGCCGTAGGCGTTGACAATGGTCTGGAAGCCCTCGGTAAACTTGTTGGTCTTGAGGTAGGTGGGCGGCTTCTTGCTCGTCTTAATCTCGTTGACGATGGAGGGGACGGAGAGGCCGGCCCGGTTGGTGACGTCCTGGAGCGTCGACCGGATCAGAGGCATGTCGTTGGTGGGGCACCATGCCTCGGCGATGAGCGTGCGGCGAGCCGAGTCGTACGAGAGCATGTTGAGCGTGCTGTAGACGGCCTTTTCCTTGGCGATGAGCACCGTCCAGGGGGCCAGCGACTGGGAGATCTGGGTGAGCTCGGCCTCGAGCGTGGCCTGGGTGTTGCGCAAGACGTTCTGCACGTCCTCGAGGCGGTTGTTGACCTCGTGAATTTGCTCGCGACGGAGGTCACTGTTCTCGTCAACGTTGTAAACGTCGGCACCCATGGACTCGGAAATCTTGCGGATCTTGCTGAGAATCTCCTTGCCGTGGGCAAAGATGACAAAGACATTCTTCTGGATGGCCTCGTTGTTGGTCGGGTCGATCAAGGGCTCGGGAATCTCGGACTGGTTCATGTACAGGTTTCCGCGGAGGGTTCTCCAGAGAATACGCTCGAAAGCGGCGACACGGTCCCTATTGATGACACCGGCGACGAACCCGATGTTCATGCCAGAGAATGAGCGCTCGGCGTCGGGCGCGGAGGTGGCCTGCTCCATGTCGGACAGCAGGGGCGCATCGTCCTGCTCGTCGGTCGACGCGCGGATCTCGTCGACGTTGCCGTGGGCACGGTCAAAGAAGCTGCCGGCCTCCCGCAGGACCCAGCGCCACTCGGTGAGGTCGCCCTCGCGCTTCTTCAGCGTCTCGTAGCTGTCGTTGAGGGCGGAGATGCGCTGCTCCAGCTTCTGGGCCCGCTCGGCGAGCTCGTCAATCTCCGACGTCGATGGAGAGGCAAGCTTCTCGGCGTCCAGATCCAGCTTCCGCAGAGGAATTCCCGCCTTTTCCATCTGAGCATAAAAGTAACCTAGAAGGAAGCTGCTGCGTTAGTTTGGAAACCGCGTCGCGATAGGTGGCAGAACGAGTGGGCAAGCTTGTTGGAGAGGACCGCCTCGATGGTGACGTACGCAGTTGTCGCTCGACATTATCCAGGCGTCGGATCTCCTGAGTAAAGGTTCGCTGGAAGGCGCTGACATCCGCATTGAGCTGTTTCGCAGAAGAAAGAAAAGAAGTTAGCAGCCTCGAAATTGATTCATCGTCATCCACCATCATCGTCGTCATCGTCCACGGCGACAGGCAAACCGGCACATGTACGTACATCGCGAAACTGGCACAGTCCAAGCTCTCCAAGCGCAGTCACGACCTCTCGACCAATCTCGTTCGACACGTAAAGCTGCACCATGCTCATCTCCGCCGAGCGGAACGGCGTGTCCCTTCGCGGAGCCATGATGATGCGGATTCAGGGCACCAAGAGACTCTGCTCTGGAGGATGAGCGTTTGGGGGGGAGAGAAGGGATTCGAACGAGGGAAATGGGTTTATGGAAGAAAGAGGGAAACTCCCTGGAGGAGCGAATGGCTTAAGAGGTACATACGGGGATACAAGGCACAGAACCTGGCGGAGCCGCGAATTGTTCCGTACAGTAAGGCGAGCTACGTACCTGCAGCCGTCACGTGAACCGCCTCAAACCGCTCTTTTGGGGCTCAGCTCTGATACTTTGAGGTGTCATCGGCGCCAAAACTAAGAGCCGTGCCGAGTGAGGAAAGCTGCAAAAGCATAAACGGCGCCCAAAGTCTGCATAGGTAGGTAGAATCAAGTCGAATTGAGCGATAAGCAAAATCATTATTCTTTATTGAAATAAATATATGTTCACGCATCTTTATGCCGTCTTCAGATGAGCGTCACAGCCAGCGAGGGTGGTCAAACTCGTCATCATTTGAGGCCGCGGGCTGATGATTGTATTATGTCATCCCCAAGTGCCGTCATCGCCACCCCTTGACTTCCTGATTCGGCCCTGCGAGACGGGAACGACTCCGTTACCTTGCATGGAAGCTCACCGACAAAATACTGCAAATTTCATTCATACCAATGATAATTCGATTCATTTTATAGCTGCCTGTATTACTGCTAACTCACACTGAGGTATCTGTAAAAAGCACTGAATTGCCGTAAGGACGAGAGAGATGGTTGAATCCAGAAACAGGTATCCCCTTCTAAGAGAAAAACAACGATTCCCTCATTACCCTTGCCCGAAATTATCCCAACCAAACGCCCGTCACACTTTTTTTTTTGTTCCTTTTATCTTTTTCTGTATCCCTTTCCCAAGTTGAACATAACGCTGAGCAAGTTTGCTTTTGGATATCTTCGTAATCCCCAACACCGTCCGAAAGGAAGACCCATACGCAGTTGCGCCTCGCAGGATACACCCAATAGGCAAAACAAGAAAACCAATAAAAACCCGGTCCGCCCGACAGATGAAAGTAGAGTTGAGAAGTTTGCGGAGGTGGTGGAGAGTAAGAAAGGAGCAAGAGGAGTGCGAGCCATTAGATGCGCCGTCCAAACATGTAGGAGCCGTACATGCCACCGACCTCGGCGACAGCCACAGGAACCTTTCTCATTCCCCAGCTGTCGGCGCCCATCTTCCACGCTCGGCTTCCATTGTCTTGAGTGGTGCCATCCTCGTTCTTGCGGACAAGCCAGTAACGGCTGCCAAACTCCTTAGCAGTCCAGCCAACTCTCTCAAGGCTCTTGTTCGACTTGGCGGCGCGTTCGAAGGACCGCTCGGCAATCTCAATCACAGTGAGCGGCGCCGACGCGGGGGCCAGCAAGTCGCTGGCGCTTCCGATAATAGTATCAATGTCTGAAAGATCAATGAATTTCAGGTTGTGAGGGCGTGCTTCCTGGCCTTCAAAGAAGATTGAGCGGACTTCGGTCATGCTCAGGCCCCGGCCAAGAGCGAGTTCCTCCAGAGATTGCGAGAGCCTGATGAGGTCCGGCAAGTGTGCCGCCTCCATTCGACAACCCCGCAGGCTCAGC